AACTGGTATATATAATAAAACATTTCAATAGATATTCAAATTAATACTCAATTTACATTAAAATAAATTATTTCAGATCACAAATTTAAATTAACATGACAATAAATTATGTTAATTGAACACAATTAACATTCCCCTCTTCGACATTGTCCATAATTAGCATTAAGTTTATTGTCCATAATAAAAATTTTACTTTAAGAAAATACTATATGTTTTAAGTTATGAATTTCATATCGAACAAAAAAATTATGTTCATCGTCAAACGGAATTAAATAATTATATGTCTTTAAATTTTATATCGTCAAAGCAAATCAAAAAAAATCCTATGCTTTAATTTTGAGTCGTCAAAGGAAATTAGATAATTCAATCTCATTGAATTTAAGTCGTCAAAGGAAATTGGATAATTCTTTAAATTTAAGTTTTTAAAGAAAACTATTTTAATAAAAGAAAATCAGATAATATTATGTCTTTATATTTAAATTATCAAAATAGATCAGAAAATACTGTAACATGAAAAATTGTGTAATTCTAATTCGTAATCAATTTATATACTATAATTTGTAGCATAATAAGCGTATCAAAATATAAATTGGCGTAAAATTGTAATTTTAACATTTTGTGATCACGCAATCTATGAACATAAAGTTCTTATCTTGAATAATATGCGGTCTCCCATTCATTAACATATAATTACGTAGCATCACAGCCACACATATCACGAGCATATGTGCGATGAAGTGTCCGGCAAATTAATCGCCTTACATTCAAACAAAAATTTTTTTTATTAATAATCATATATATAACAACAACTGGTATATATAATAAAACATTTCAATAGATATTCAAATTAATACTCAATTAACATTAAAAAAATTATTTCAACTGATCACAAATTTAAATTAACATGACAATAAATTATGTTAATTGAACAAACAAATTCAATAATTATGAAAAGATAAAACAACTTAAAAATAAAAATATCTCATTATAAATTATTTATTTAATATTGGTCAAAAAAATTAAATAAGAAGAAGACAATGTAAACAATTTATAAATTTAATAAAATAATACCCGCTAGCTGGCGTTATATATAAAATTGAAAAATTTATTGTCGTTAGTTCGCAATATTTTTTTTTTTTAGTTTTATAAGATTAGTAGAAATGTCAATCATTTTTAATAGTTCCATCAGATGAAAATTTTGAAGAACAATATTTTTTTTTATCCTTTTTTGGGGAAAATGATTTTTTATTGTGATTGATTTTTCGTGATTAAATTCAAAAAAAATTATTAATAATTTTATGCTAAAGAAAAATAAATGAAATTTTTACAATTATTTTATCAAGTTTTTTTTTTAATAAAATTTTTCTTGGAAGTTTCGCCAAAAATAGTGTTAAAAATTACTACTGTCCTGATAATTTTTTGTTTAAGAAAGTTAAAGTCTTATATTGCTCGTAGACTAAATTCCCTCATCTTCTGGTTCTTTTTGATTTATTGATTTTCTATAAGTTCTTCTTTTTTTTATATTTTGGATTTTGGTAAGTTTTCTGCTTGATTCGTAAGTTATTTTATTTTATTTTTTTTAACTTTAAAATACTATATAAAATAATATCCGCTAAGTGGTGTTATTAAAAATATATATAAAAAATTGTTTTTTTTTTTTTGAACTTTACGAAAATAGTCAAAAATGATAAATTAAAATGTTTAAAAGATTTCAAATTATCATATTACCATACCCATCAAACTTATATAAGTAATAAAAAATTTTTTAGATGACAATAATTAATAATAGAATATAATTAATTTTTTTTGCATATTTTCTGCGAATAAAAGTATTTTGAGATGTGAGATTTGGGCTATTATTGCTGCCTGACTTGAGAAAAACTGGCCGATTAAGATTATCACCTGTGCATAAGCTTGGCAGAAATGCTTGAATTTTGCCAATTCTCGATGCACGCATAAGATTATTTTAGCTAAAATAGGCTGCTTTGAAATATGGACCCTAATCCGGCTTTTTAACAGTACTATACTTGACACTTTATTTACATTTATAAAATTAAAAGTAAATAAAAAAAATTTAAAATTTTCATATTTTTAAAAAAGTATTAATTGTTATTTTTTTTTCTATTCACCATTAACAAAAATTAATTTATTTTTTTTTAATATTTTTTTTTCCATATATATATATATTTTTTTTTTTAATACCTTATTAAATATTTATAAAATTAAAATCGATCAATAAATTATTAAAATCAAATAAATTGTATAAATTATATAAATTTTTACTTTTTGATAAATATATATTTGAAGCTAAATATTTCTAGAATTTAGGCCCTAAGAAATTTTATAGTAAATATTAGATATTATTCAAGTACGAAATTAGTAATGAAAATAAATTATTCAATATACCGTCCAAAATAAATTTAAGGATCGAATGGTTAAGTCAGCAATAATACATAAAAGACTTTGGGTGAGACCAAAGTTTAAATTTTTATTTATTTGACTTCGCGCGCTGCCAATGTCACGTGGGCAAGATTAGATCTCCCAAATCAAACGGTTTTAAATTTAAGTATTATAAGTATTATTTTTATTAAATAAGTAAATAAATATGGTTTTAAAAAATCTCTTTTACCCATAAATGGAGGACCATTAAATAAAAATGTAACCGTATTTAAAAAATGCATATATAATGTATGAGTAGTGTGGAATGGCTAACTTAACAATTTTTTTTTTGGGGGGGGGCAATAAAAATTGCTTCAGGCATGGATATTTTACTTATCGAGGGTAGATATGTTTGAACATGTATCAATGAAATCTCGAGGCTGCTGGGGGGAAAAAAAATCTTAATTCAAAATGGCTAGATCGAGCAGTTTAACAACGTCACATGATAGAGGTATATCATTATTTTTAAAATGTAGGTATATTTAATATATGTAGATCAAAGAATCTTCCCCAACAAACACATTAGGGTGGCGATGAAAAATTGATAATTCACGAGCTCACAATTATGATGGAAATCTTAATTTAATGCATCAAGAGATGATGAGGAACATAATCATTCTGGTTAGTAATTAAATTAAAAATAAAATTTATTTTATTTATTTTGTATATTATTTAGTTAGTGGATATTAATCAGTTGAATTTTATATTCGTTTAATTAATTATTTAATATCGACGCAAAAAAAGTTAATTTACAATTTAAAATTTAACAAAAATGATACCTTGCTAGATAATGTTAAAATTTAAATATTATTGTATTATTTTGTATTTTTTTAAATTATATTTTTAAACTTTAAAAAAGATTATTTTTACGAAAATAGTTAAAAATGATAAACATTTTTTTGTTTGGGCAAAATAAATAAATGTAAATATACTACAAAAGCAAATTATCATCTAGACCTGATATTTTATACATTCTTATTCTAATGATTGGTCAACATCGATGAAATTGTATAATGTCATCAGGGAAGCGCCTAAATACAATAAATCTGTATTGGGTATGCTAGATCTTGATAGCACCTATCCATACTCTGTTATTCATTTTCAAATAAAGGATTCTAATTAATTTGCAATAATGCCACCCAAATGAGAACATAAAATTTTATTTCAATAGATTATACTTACAAAAATATGAATTAAATCGAATAATCTTATTATTAGGGTTCATATTAATTGTATATGAAAATATATGCTAGACTTAAAACCAAACCAAGCAGGGTGCTCCAAAACCCATTAGCAATAACAAAATCATACATTAATAAAAACATATCTAGAAAACCTTTCTTATTTACCTCATAACGTATTCCTCCCAAATCAACCAATCCTCAGATTGACTGATGTAATAAAACTTTTATATATATATATCCAAAAATATTTTATTTATTTTTTATATTCCACAAATCTTTTAATTTTTCACCATCATAAAGCAATATACTCTAATTACTTTTTATAAATTAATTATCGAAATAAATGGATACAAAATTACAAAATGGATTACATTTAAGAATTCTAAAATATTTTCGAATGTTAAAAATCCTTTTTACAAAACATGATTTAGAATTTCAGATAAAATTTTATCAAAAATCTTACTCGAGCATTCTCAAAGAAGATCAAAATATTTTTTTAATTTTTCATCTCACATTATATATTTACAACATAATTTGTTTTTATTATTTAAACGTGACGATTAATCATAAATAAATTATTGTCCATATTTAATTTCAATATGTATTAAATTAAAATAAAATCTTATTTTGTTTAGCCCCTTTTATTTTTTTAATAATGACACTCGTTTCACTGTAATTATAAAATAAATGCATTTGGGAAAAATTACGTCATTTTTTATGCAAGATATTTTTTTGCATTATATTTCAATTTTTATATATCTTTCTAAATCGCCATTTGATATTAAGTATGTAAAGATTCTATTAAAACAATAAAAATTTTCAAAAAAAAAATTGCTTCAAATTATTAAAACAAAAATTTACCGTTTTTTGCCCATTTTAACATAACCATAACATTTTTTTTAGAGTTAAAACGTGCCCCTGCCGCAAATTTAAGGACTACAACTAGAAATATTTAAATCGAATAAAATATTAAATTTAAATCATTTTCAAAGGTATAATAAAATATGATAATATAGAAAAGGATAAAAAGTTTAAACTTAAAAAAAGGCGATTATAAAAAAATTAATATTTGTCGAAGATTTAATAAATTAATATATTAGGATTGTTTATAAAATTTTCTACATAAAATATCCCTAATTAAGCCAAGGATATAATTATAAAGCTTGAATTAAAAAATTTTTTTTAATTTCAGTGCGGAATTTTTGAAAAAAAATAATGTAGTATATGTATAATATAGTAGTGTAATATTTATGTAAGGCAAAAAAGAAAAACAATTTATTTTAACAACTGGTGAAAATATTACCTTTAAATTTTGAATAAAATGTATTGATATTTTAAACCCCGCCTAACCACTTTTATTGAATTCGGTTTAAACATATGCTTTTAAAAAAACTGCTTAAATGCTCGTTTTCTCGTGTTAACATTTTAGATGGTAAATTAAACACCTTTATACAATGCTTTTCAACAAGCCCGTCACCCGAACCTCTATATGAATCAATTTTACAACGCAATATTGGCAGAACAAAAGGTATAAATATTTTTCACATACGACATGCCATCTCTTTTCAGATGAACAGAATCAACTAAAACTATTATCCCCACAAAATTTAGAGAATGCTAAAACAATAAAAGTCACTATTATAGGCTTGCCTAATTCTGGAAAATCTACTTTAATTAACAGTCTTATGCAATGGAGGGTATTTGATATATAATTATAAACTTTTTTTTTACCACAATTATGGTTAATTAGTATTTTATTATAATAAAATGCACTATGCATTTTTAACCATTTATTATTATGCAAATTTTATTTGATATTAAAGCTTTACATAAGTATTAATATTTTAGTTTAATTTTTATTTTATTCTTGATGTAATGTTAATAATTTGATTTAAAATTTAATGTTACACTTTTTAAATAAAAGATTTCTTCAGTATCATCAAAAGTTCACACAACCAGAAAAAACATAATATCTACATTCACAGAAGAAAACAAACAAATAGTAATGCTTTAGAAAATTTATATTAATTTTGAAAATGTATATTTAATGCACATTATGCAGATTTATTTTGACACACCTGGACTTGTTGATAAGAAACATTGTCAAAAGTAATAAATAGATACACAATTTTTAATTTAAAAAAAATATATTCTTGTAGGCATAACCTGGAAATAGATATGGCATCATTCCCACATTTTGCAGCCAAACAGGGAGATATCAGTAACTTGAACAAATGATTATGACATTTAATTCAAATTTTATTTATAGGAAAAATACATTAGATTTATAAAATAGAAATTATTATATATTTTTGCCAATTTACGATGCAGATAATTTGCTCAGCTATTAAAAATTGCCAGTTATTTTTTTTATCCAGCAATAAATAAATCTAAATATGCGAATGTTTGGGCAGTATTTATAAAATATGGACCAAAATTGAAGGAGAATCTGAACTTACTTTAATAGCATATATAAATGAATATTTGCAACATTTGCAATTTATCGAAGCATTTGTAGCTGCATCGAACCCATATTGGAATTTAAACCATATATAAAATATTACAAAAAATGAGATCACTGTTAGTTCATAATATGACATAGTTTATAAAGTTACCCTCACTCATTTATATACCAAATTTCCTAATTCATATATATTTATCATAATTATTTAAAACTATAATTTAAAATACATTATATTTAAATTTTTAAATGACTTGTTTATATATTTTTTATAATAAAATATATTAGAACTTTAATTAATAGAATATATTTTAGATAATTTTTTTTTGCTAGCAATCTTTGATATCTGCAGTTTTAAATTGCACAACTTAATACAAAATTAAAAAAATACTTATCAAAAGTCATTAAAAAAATACTTAAAAAGTAATCAATAACTTATCAAAAATGTTGAAACACTTACCAAAATAGTTAAATCACTTACCAAATAGTTGAAACACTTACCAAATTATTTATACAACTCCCAATAAGTTGTTTATATTTATTTTTACACAAACATAAATTTAAAGGAATGCATTTTAAATTTAAAAATTTTTACAATTTTGTTGATAATTTTGATTCATATGGGTTCTTATAATATTACAATTTTGTAGTTTGTGTAGTAGTGGATGCCAATAACTTTTGGACGAGACATTCGTTAGATCGCATAACTCTAGATATCCTCCAGGAACATCGATCAAAACCATCGATTTTAGTCCTAAATAAGGTACATCGTTTCAAATGAACACATGTTTTTTAAGAATTATGTATTATATAAATCATTATCGAACCAAATTATCAACAAGTTGAAGCTTGATTAGAAGAGAATTTTCGTAGTATTTTTTTTAGGGATGTATACCTATACCACTTTTTAGAGGGCGATCCGACATTACGGATATTAAATGAATCGGCCGAATACCGAACCGATATTGTATTCTGTAAACATGCTAATTCTTTTAAATTTTTAATGTATACATCTAGCGAGCGTGTTGCGAAATCGCTCCATCTGAGCCGATCGGTATTTTATCCAGAAAAATATTACTCGAGCCTGAAGATTTTTGGCTCATAGATGGCTCAAAGGTTCTGACATTTATCAGCGGATTTTCGTGGCTAAAATACTGAGTTGACCATCTTTAAAAATGTGTTTAAATGAAGCGATTTTTGCGTCACTTACATGCAATCTACGCATCTCTCATATACTTTTTAATAGTATAACATTTACAATTTAATTATTCCATAACCAATGACATATAATAATACCTAGACTGACGTTGCATTCATAATAATGCATTTGAAAGCTTCGTTGATGCAAATCAGCTGGATCCGCCATTTTGGTAAACCCATATGATAATTATTCTCATGGTTAAAAACTACTATTAAATTGATAACTTGCTTCCTTGTCATCTCGATGATCAAGCAATTCTTTAATAAAGTTGGCTTCAGACATGGGAATAAATTGATCCCTCGTTTAATGTTTTTAATAATGATACGGGTAACCAAAAATGGCGTCCCCAGCTGTTTTTCATTGATGTACACTTTTAATGAATGTATCGTCAGTCTAGGTATCATTATAATAGTTTGTGTTCGTGATATCTAAAAGCGTGTAAAATATTTTTTATTGATAAATCACCTATTTATTTAATAATTTGAGCTGAATTTTTTTTTATATTAAGACGCCATTTTTATAGGATCGGATCTTTATATCCGGTAACCGATGTTTAAAAAAGATGAAATATCGGCTCGAACCGATATCCGTTAAAAAATATCGGCGCGTCCTTAGTGTGCTCAAATTATTTTTAAAAAAATTTAGGTCCCGAACCCGTCCTGAATTGGGCAGAAAATCTTCTTCTTTTCGGATTAATGGCGATTTTCAGGTTTACCCAGTATTCCCTCCCATTTTTATTTTTCCATTTTTTGACGGCCCTGAGAATCGATATTTGTAAGATTTTTTTTTCTCATATCCGCCGCTATCACCCTTATCCACGTCATCTTGGACTTTCCTCTAGGTCTTGATCCTCTTACTTCCATCGAGGCGCATCTCTTTACCCAGTCATCTTTTGTCTCCTTACTTTACGCATGCCCAAACCATCTAATAAAAAAAGGGGAGTGTAAGTTGGATAATCGTCCCTCGCCTTGTTCATTTATTGTGCTTATAAACCAATTGGATTGGATTGATTTATCTATCATTATTGGCACACTCATGGATAATCGGTTTTTGATATCCGATTTTTATTCTTATCGGTTTTGAAAACCGGGAAAATATTGGTATTGTTGCCAGTCTCAATTACACACCCAATTTCTCCAACCCCCTCCACCTTCCCTCGAATTTAAACATATTTATCATCCAATATATTGCTACATCTTTAAGTTATTTTCTAAATACTTTTTCGGGCTCGATGCTGAGCTTTTGTATCATCACCATCATTTTGTCACCTCTCCCTCCTCCATATGTCTCCAGATTTTTAAATATAGCCTTGCAATGATGTTGCAATCCTGTCAATTTTTGCGGCAATGCTCTCTCACAGCATTCCTGCTACGGATTTGGAATATGCTGCCCGTTCTCCGTATACTATTTTTCTTCACTTCCTTTTTTGTTTGTTGTTGTTTGTTATAATAGTGCGCACAAATTGAGCGTTTCAAACGCCGCGCTTGCGCGCCAAGAATGCATTACAGCTGGCCTCGCTCAAATTGGTAAAATTACCGTTTGGCGTTAGCAACCGTTAAAGAAAAACGCAAACTTGTTTTCCTTTGTTCAATACCTTTTTTTTATTCCTCGCTTTGTAATATTATATAAAATGTCATATAAATAAACTTACTTTTTAATCCTAAAAATGGAATATTTAGAAATTAAAAGAAATAAGAAGGCAGACGAAAATATATTTTTAGAACTTATTTAAAATGTTATATAAATAAATAAACTTACTTATAATTTTAAATTTAGAAATTAAAAGAAATAATAAGGCAGACGATAATATATTTTTAGAACTTAATTAAAATGTAATATAAATAAACTTACTTTTTAATCCTAAAAATGGAATATTTAGAACATTAAAAGAAATAAGAAGGCAGACGATAATATATTTTTTAGAACTTATTTAAAATGTTATATAAATATAAACTTACTTATAAAAAAAAGGAATATTTAGAAATTAAAAGTAATAAGAAGGCAGACGAAAACATATTTTTATTACTTATTTAAAATGTTATATAAATAAATAAACTTACTTATAATCCTAAAAAAAGGGAATATTTAGAAATTAAAAGAAATAAGAACGCAGACGATAATTATAATTTTCGAAGACATATCATTTTTTTTTAGAACTTATTCAAAATTTCGAATCGACGGATATTAAAGACAACCTCAATTTAAACAAGGGACACGTTACGTTTTTTTTATTAAAAAATTATGGCATAACGTAAACGCTCAATTTGTGTACACTATAAGATCCCATAGTTGATAAAATTTTTATATTTAATTTCCTTCCTCATAGAAGAAATATATATATTTTTTTTGAACTCCCATTGATACGTCGAAGCTAACGCTCAGACAAACTATCAGCGCTAGCGGTAGCGCAACCATCACCTGTTTTAAAAAGAGATTTAGTTTATCCCAGATTTATCATAGGGCTTCCGGTTATTATTCCCGTTCTAAACTGGTGGATAGCTCAACTCAAGAGATGATCGTCTGAAGCTAATTTTTTTAATTGGATGAAGCATTTAAAAAAAATTTTAAATAGGTAACTGAAACCGGAAATAAGGAGTGTGATTAAGGGCTGGGTTAGGGTCGTCGTATATTAAATATGATTAACGCTGTCAAATATGACAGATCAGGTGATTCTAGACCAATAAAAAAATTTAATCAGCTGTTATAGGAAATTTTCCTGGAGTTTGACCAGAATCCTAAACTCCGTTAATAAACAAATAAATAAAAACAGTCTAAAAGGTTAGTTAAAACGTTAAAATAAATCTTTCTAAAATTAATCACACAATTTGTCCTTTTTTAGGAACCGTTTCCTAGGAAATTTTGGAAAGGGAATCTAGAAATTCCGGTAGAGATTTGAAGGGGATTATTTCCGGTTTCAAAATTCTCGTTTAAATTTGCTAAGTGACGACATCCCTAGTGTTTATATGATAGAACAAAATTTTTTATAAAATCTTTTTAAAAATAAAAAAAATTGGTTAGATGGAGATTGTCGAAAACTAAGGGAGGCTTTTAAACTCTCAGACCATGGCGACTGGCTAAAAAGCGTGGCGGATGACTAAAAATTTAAACCATTCTTATTAACCTTATCATAATTCTTAGTTATTGCTATTATTATTCTTTTCAGGTTGATCTGGTAAAACCCAAGTCTCTCGTTCTAGATGTCGTTAAATCGCTGACGGATAACCATTTCAGGGGCCGCAAAATGCCCGGAGTTATGGTGAAAACGGATAACGAATCCCAGCAGAAGCTCGTAGACCCTAACGTTAAAACATCCGCCGAAACCATAAAAAATAAAGATGGTAATTAATTTTTTTTTAAATTAGAGGATGCCGCTAATACCATATTTCTTGATCGATATTAAGATCACCGAAAATTCCTAATTTTAATTGACGTTTCGATCCGGAGTGAATGACGACTTCACCTGTCGTTATTTAGAGGGAAGATGATGACAATCACTGTTTTGATCCTTTTTTTTTAAAAAATGTTTCTGAACGACATTAAAAAAATGTTCATTTGTCCCACTGCTTCCTTGTATATATTTTTTTACCCCCCCCCCCCCTTTTTATCTCTTCTATACGATAATATAGAAATCCATCAATCAATATATATATATTTATTTTTTTTATCTCTGACGCATGTCGATTACTTTTAATTTTGGGTTTATCTTTTGTCAATCAATTTTCTAATAAAAAAAATAAAGTTACCGGAAAATAATATTCTCAGAAATATATATATAAATGACATATAATAATTGCATTCGAAGCGTCGTTGAATGCAAATCAGCTGGATCCGCCATTTTGGTAAACCTATATGGTAAAATTCTTTTAATAAAGTTTGCGTCAGTCTTAGCAATAAATTGGCCTCTCGTTTGAAATTTTTAATAATGATATGGGTAATCGAAATGGCGTCCCCAGCTGTTTTTCATCGATGTAAACTTTTAACGAATGCATTCGTCAGTCTAGGTATTATTATATGCCATTGATATAGCAATCCATTAATCGTAATATAAGAAAAAAAATATATGAAGTAAAAGAAACATTAGAATACTTTGATACTTTAAACATGTCCCCCCTATTTTTTGGTAAGTAACTTATCATTTTAAAGCCTAAAGGACAGGACCGCCATATTTGGTAATCCGATCCTAGTGTTGTTAAAAAAGCCGGATTTAAGCTGGCCGATTAAGATTCTGGCTAAAATAATATCATTTTAGCATCAAGGTTTGGCGAACAGGATGTCCAAGCATTTCTGCCAGCTAATGAGCGAAATCTTTAGGGCTTACATAATGTTATTTAGGGTTATAATCTTAAAAAAATATTTTTTTTAAAGTATTGAATTCTCAGCTGGTTCGGATTATTACTAATTATTTATAAACGTTAGTTATAACCGGTGTTGTTAAACGGTTCGACTCGAGTCGATTTTTTTGAAAACGGCTAACTCGATATTTTTTACCCGGTTATTAGAGATTTTGCTCACGGATGGCACAAGAGTTTGGGGCGGCTTGAGCAAATTATTTTTTTCTGGCTCAAATATTGAGTGAACCTCTTTGGAAAAAAAACCGCCTCAATGCTAGACGTTTAACGACACTGTATTGCGTTCTTTAGAGCTTTTTCTTTCCTTGAACTTATTCGATATTACTCATTTCTCTCGACTTCAAAAAAAAAAATACGAATGATAAAGATAACGAAGACATGAAAATAATGGCTAACCTGAACGAATTGGAACGGGTTCGTTACTCAAACCGAGTCGCTAGCTTAAAAAGAGAGGGGCGAGATGGGCTAGCCAATCACGGCGAAGAAAATGTCCACGTGGATAGCAAAAAATTGCCCCACAAGCCCAGCAATTCGCTGGTGTACACAAACTTCTCCGACGTCAAAATATCCCGAGCATCCCACGCGCAGCAGACTGGTAATATTATATTGTTTGTTTTGTATTTATCAGAGACCTAGAGACGGCCCGGTCCGGATTTTTTTTCCAAAAATTTTTTTACGGCCCGGCCCGGCCCGGCTCGACCCAGATTTAAAAATACAAAAAATTCACCTATTCGGTATTTTATCATGATTCTCAGCGAGCATTATCGTTTAATAAGCAAGCATATTAGTTAATGTTGCTAAACGGCTCGGTTAATATTGACTGAGCCTCGAAATTTCGATACTATATGTCTAGACCCCTTTGTTCCTCCTATGAACAAAATCTTAAAATCTCGCGTGATATTCTTTTGGGGTTAAAATAGTGAGTTAGCCATTTTGAAAAATTGGCTCAAAACGAGTCGATTAACAACACTACATATTACATAATTTTTTTTTTTTAAAATTCTAAACAGATATTTAGTGTATTACACAAATTGATACTATAAAAAAATTTGTGTAAATAATATTTTGAATTAAAAAAAAAATTAAACTGATATTTTAATTAATAAAAAAATATGACATATAATTATATAATGATGTATTTTATTACCTATCACCCTTTGCGTATTTATTCCATGGCAGGAAAACTATAATTATATTATGTAATGGATACTATGAGTGTTAGCTAGTGTTAACTTTCACCCAACATTATATTAATCATAACTCTTATATTATCATTATAACCATATCTAATTGACGAATATAATAATTCATGTTGTATAAATTTTTAACAAAAAATTTGACGGTTGACCCGGGTATTTAAAAAAAAATTTTTTAATACCCGGCCCGGCCCGGGTATTAAAAAATTTATCTACGGCCCGGCCCTGGTACCCGGACCCGGGCTTAGGGCCTGGCATACAGGTCTATGTTATTTATTATTTACAAACTTATAAAAGTTTTAACCGTCATCCAATACGATTTAACTTTGGAATGATTCAATGTATTTTTGCTAATGTTTCCGTTAGTATCCGGATATGCCCCAATGCACACGACTATCCGTCGATACCGGTTTGCTTTCGGTATTCGCTCTAAAAGCGATATTCCTGGATGTCGCAGCCATTTTTGACATACATTATAGATTTTGGCATATAATTTAACAGATTTGCGCGTTACAAATTGATAACTATTACGCACCTTAAAACCAGTGTCGTTTAAACGGCTCGATCTGAGCCGATTTTTTTAAAAGACGGCTAACTCAATATTTTATCCAGGAAGTATGTTACTCAAGCCCGTTAATTTTGCTCGTAGATGGAAGCAAGGTTTGGACATCTGTGAACGGAATCTAGAGACTTTGTCAACATCTCTCTGGCTAGAATAACGAGTTAGTCGTTTCTAAGAATCGGCTAAAATCGAGCCGTTCAACAACACTACTTAGAACCTGTTCCCGAAATAGACTCTCTATTTCAATTGAGACATCTTTTAAAAATTCGCATGATTATTAGATAATTTCGAAACGTTTAATTAATTTTTATACCTTAAAGTTCGTTTTATAATTAGTTTTGGTGTATATATATATATATATCGGAGTTGTTAAAAGATACTTTTTAAATGGATCTAGACACAGATACATCGTCTAAAGCAATATCTAGATACCGATATTTTAATCAAAAATCTATCTAGAAACAGATACCACATTTTTATATCTAGATACCAACTCTGATATATATACCAAATTTAGCGTAAAATTTATGTATTATTTTAGTTATAAGTCATATTCAATCAGAGCAAACATTTATTTATTTATTATCGATGAGAATAGAAATACTTCTAAACCAACAAAAGTTTACTTATTTATTTAAGTTTTATGAAAAATACTTTATATTATTTAGGGAAGGTTGAATCGTAAATTGCGTAGTATTCATATTACCTACACCTCAAAATGCTAAATTAAAATCAAATCTTTTTCCAACTGATTTATCCAATAAAGCTGCTACGATTCGCGCATGCGCTGCCCGTTTTTAGGCAAAAGTCTGAAAAAGGATCTTCCCTAACACTTTTTATTTATAAAATTCCTTTAACAACGACGCATAAAAAGATAAATTATTCCAGCCAAACAAAAGTTTACCTGTCTATCAAGTTTTATAAAATAATTGAATTATTTTAAGGAACGAATTCGTGAGATGCGTAATCAAAATAAAATCCAAAAATATCAAACCTCGATTAGCTTCGTTGCCTACACCTCAGAATGCTAAATTAAATCTAATATTTTCCCAACTGATTTATCGAATAAAGCTGCTATGAATCGCGCATGCGCTGACCGTTCTATGCAAAAGTTTAAACGATTGTTCCCTAAAATTAATAATGATGACATGAATTTAATGACTGAGCTTACTCGCGGTCCTATGAATATAATATGCCCAATTTTGTTTTTTCTTTGAATTTTATAGATGAAAGACCCTCGGATTCTAAATTCAATCATTGTTGTCACAAAGGAAAAGTTAAACTTATAAAAGTACCTTACCCACCTTATTTACAAAATCTTTTATCAAACCCTTAGAATTCCTTGCTTAATGATTTTATGAAAAATATACGTTCTTATAATTTAGCTATAGCATTTGCTTTTACGAGTGTTCAAATATCGGAGCTTTCATGGTGGCCCTTATTGCTTCAAAGTTCATTGGCAAATATATCACTGTACTTCTCACTTATATCCACCCTCTAATACTCAACCTACTTATGCAGAGTTATATGTATTAGATACTATGCAGGCTATAGCTGAGGAGCGTATTAAACATCCAGCAAATACTGAATGTAACATAGATATATGAAACATTTAGATCAATTAATACGTCAAATTAATCCCTCCGCTATTAGCTTTAAGACCTTAGGTGAGGTTCAACAATCTGCATTAGAATTTTCAACCAATTTCAATTCAAAAATAACTGCCATTAGTATGATCTTTAAGCGAGATAGATCTAACGATCGGCGCCGTTATAATTTACCATCTATGGATGACGTAGCTATGATTTTCAACGATGAAGATGGCGAACCTCCTTTTAGATGAGATATTTAAGGGATATCCTATATCTGAAGAGAATGATCTCATTATTCTTAACTTAATGAGTCCAAATTTAGACCCCATGGTATATCCCATATTGTCCCCCCATGGTGAACATGGTTGGTTGCCTAATATGATCGCTGAAGATTTTGAATATTAGTCTAGATCTAAAATTTCTATATAACAGCGCCGATCGTTAGGTCTATCTCCCTTAAAGATCACATTAGTTATTTTTGAATTGGAAGTGGTTGAAAATTCTAATGCAGATTGTTGAACCTCGCCTAAGGTCTTAAAGCTAATAGCGTAGGGATTAATTTGACGTATTAATTGATCTAAATGTTTCATAATATCATGTTACATTTAGTATGTGCTGGATGTTTAATACTCTCAGTCTCAGCTATAGCCTGTGTAGTATCTAATACATATAACTCTGTAATAAGTAGCTTGAGTATTAGAGGATGGATATAAGTGAGAAGTACAGTGATATACTTGACCATGAACTTTGAAGCAATAAGGGCCACTACCTGAAAGCTCCGATGTTTGAGCACTCGTAGAAGCAAATGCTATAGCTGAATTATAAGAACGTATATTTTTCATAAAATCATTATGCAAGGAATTCTGAGGGTTTTATAAAAGATTTTGTAAATATGTTGGGTAAGGTATTTGTAAGACAACAATGATTGAATTTAGAATTTGAGGGTCTTTCATCTATGTTTTTAAATTAAAACAGAATTGGGCATATTTTATTCATAGGACCGCGAGTATGCTCAGTTATTAAATTTATGTCATCATTGGAACATTCGTTTAAAACTTATGACCAAAAAGGGTAGCGCATGCGCGAATCATAGCAGCTTTATTCGATAAATCGGCTGGGAAAAGATTTGATTTAATTTAGCATTCTGAGGTGTAGGTATAATGAAACTAATCATTGACCGAACGTAATTTATGAATACTACGCAATTTTCGATTCAACCTTCCTTAAATAATAAAAAGTATTTTTCATAAAACTTAAATAAATAAGTAAACTTTTGTTGATTTTGGAAGTATTTCTATTTTACGTGTAAATAAATAAATAAATGTTTGCTTGGATTGAATACGACTTATAACTAAAATAATTCACAAATTTTACTCTAAATTTGATAATATTATATATGTTATACCATTGAATAGAATAATATAGAAAATCTTCTATAGATATAAATTAGAAATTCGGAGGATAATTATTCAAGGACTAGGATATCCTTTTTGGGCACATCTTAAGTAAACAATTATAACCGATACTATATATCGTTGATCATTAAGACGATTTTAATTTATAAAGATTTTGTTATAAATGGAGGTACACCGTTCTATTCCTTTAATGCACGTTAAAAAAAAAAGAACGCATAAAATTTCCTTGGTAAGGCCTCTTCCAGATTACCACATCTAATCTTCCCTAAAAATGGTTGATTCATTTGCTCGCGCCATTTTGAATTTCTATGAAACTTTTGACGAAGCCATTCGTTAGAAAAGGATTAACGAAGGGGCTTATATATGAGGTGTCACCAAGGGTTTCTGGCACCTGCACCTGCGCACTGAACGCACAGAATATTGATGTTTTATCTTCTTCGTCATAGGCGAGGTTCTCTGGGAAAGTTATCGATCAGCGCTCAATCGCAAACCGGGACTCAAATAGGTCAGTCGCGGAGCGTGTATTAATAATTTTTCGAAATATTCCCTTTTCTGATTGGTAAATCTATCCTGATGCATATCTGCACCTTTAACCATCAAAGAAAAAAAGGAAAGAAAGAAGGAAGGAAAGAAAAAAAAAGAATCGAATATTATTTATGAAACTCGTATAAACTTAGAGAGGCTTGTATTTAGCAAATAATTTAGAAGATATTTGAAGACCATTACCATTTATCAGAGTTGTTAAAAGATACTTTTTAAATAGATCTAGATACAGATACATCGTCTAAAATAATATCTAGATACAGATATTTTAATCTAAAATCTATCTAGATACAGATACCACATTTTTATATCTAGATACTTGTATCTAGGTCCCTTAACAACACTGCCATTTATATATATATTTTAGGTATCGAAGAAGATGTGTCGGTAATAAATGAAAAGGTGCAGACGAGAATGAAGGATAAACACGCCTCCTCGTGGCCAAATTTCGAAGAGGTTTTCATGATTTCGTCTATCGACAATGACGGAACCGACCAATTAAAAGTATCGCCTCTCTTTTTTTTATGAAACATTTAAACTTACGAATAAGTTATTATTAACACGAGGTAAGTGGGTAACTGTTGAGACATCAACCTCGACCTTGATCCAGGCAGGGCCATGCTGAGACTTTTAGCGGCCGGAGGGAGGGGGCGAAAATGAATTCGGCGGGCTTTTATGCCAAATTTGCCTCAAGAAGAAGAATGGCAAATTTGCACTAAAATGGAAATGTTAACAAAGAAAGGGAGAGAAATGGAACATTGCACAGATTTGGCCATATCTAACATAGTATGTGATGTTGGCGGCCCGGGACCCTGTTACCCCTTGCCCGCTCCAGACTTTTTACGGGTCCACCTTCAGGAGGTTCAGAATTGGTTCCCCTGGGGATTGAACTGAAGAAGATGAAAATATATATTAAGCAATAGCTAATCCACTTGATAAGCGACTTCGTTAGATCAGATATATACAGGATCTCCTAGTGGCAGAAAAATAAAAAAACGACTAGAAATAAACGATTCGTTTAGACACCAATACTCGTTTTAATTTGAAACCAATTTTTTTGTTATATTTTAAATGTCTTTTTTTCCCCTCTTTTGTTTGATTTAATTACATTTTAGGGGGTTTTTTTCCATACTTTTGGATTCCTAAGTGAGGTGTTCAGTAATTATAAATTAGATATTTAGGTACCGGAGATCGTGCTGAATTTTGAGATATAATTTGAGTTCCGAGAAGTATAAGGGAGGGGGTTGGTTTTATCCCCAATTATGGCGCTTTTTGTTTTACCTATTATGGCTCATACACGCTCGCACGGACTGACTGGCCAGGTGTCTCCTACTATGCTACTCGTAAACGAATTCCCATCACTTCAATTAAGCCCTCTGGGGGTACAAGTCACTAAACATCAGAGAATATTCGGCACAGGAACCCTTGTCTAATTATTTACACCGGTTTCGGTTGTAACAACGAATATAACCGATGACGCGGAGAAGGAGATCCTATTCCTCACTTATTGCGGTCCAACTCTATTCGGAAAAATTAAAGAATACAGTTTTTTCCGGATGCCGTAGAAAACGAAGGATTTCTTAAAATCAAGGAATCAATCTCGAGAATGGCGGCGCCACCAAACGAAGCTCGCTACCGTCTAAGAAACCGAATGCAAAATCTGAAAGAAAGTATAGCCCAGTACGCGGCTCTGGTCGAAATCGCTCACAATTGCGGCTCGAAAGAAAGCCGCGATCTATTTATATCGACGCAATCTATGTCGGGCGGGCGGAAATTCACCGATCATAAAAAGGTAGATTACTATCCCTAGCTTCCTACACGTTTTTTTCGAGAATATATTCAAATCGCTAAAGCCGAGCAATCAATAGAATCGTGGACAATAGCACCCAAAGAGTATTATGACAAGGTGCAAGGTCCAAATACTCACAGGTAGCAAGCCTACGACTCCAGGAAAAAAAGACCCTGTTCTGACAATAAAAAAATGTCGCTCAAACCACAATACCAGGGTCCTATCTAGTTTTGTTAAGCAGCCCATTTTGAGCCGATTTTTTATAAAATATTGCCTAAGCTCCGAGATTTCGATAATATATCTCTAGACATCTGTTCCTTCTATGAGCAAATTGCGTAATAATTTTCTGGGTGAAATATTGAGTTAGCCATTTTTTAAAAATCAGCTGTCCTATCACATCTCCATAACTATTAATAACGACATCATTCCAATAACGTTGGAAATTACCGGATCACCCATATCCATCTTAGGAAAGGATATTTATAACCGGCATTTTAGCGACTTCCCGTTAAACACCCCCAGCATACATGTAAAATCGTGATGAATTGTTAGTTGGGTGTTGGTATTGATGGGTTGGTTGTATCCTGGAGTCGTAGACTTGCTCTGCCTGTGAGTATTTGGGCCTTGCACGTTGTCATAATTTTTCTACAATTCTATCAACTCGTCGGCTTTAGAAATTCGAATATTTTCTTGAAAACGTGTCAGAGCTAGAGGTAGTAATCTACTTTTTTATGGTCGTCGAATTTATGCCCGACATGAATTGTAATGATATAAATAGATCGCGGCATTCTTTCAAGCCGCAATTGTACGCGATTTCGACCAGACCTTTCGCGTATTGGGCTATAGTTTCCCTGGGATTTTGCTCTCCTTTTCCTAAACGGTAGCTGGCTTGATCTGGTAGCTCCGCCACTCTCGAGATTGATTCATCATGGATTTTATGAAATCCTTGGGTTTTCTAAGGCATCAGGAGAAAATGTATTCTATAATTTTCCTAATAGAGTTGATTAGAAGACTAAATCGGGTAACCGGCTATGTAAAAAGAAAATATATTTAATACTATTTTTTTTTTACAATGTCACGAACAATACCAAAAAGGAATATTTGCTATCCGCCGCTCCCGCCAAACCTTGGACCTATAATAGTCGATTCGTGACGGATCAAGTGCCGGAAGATATCGTTTACGATGCCATCAAACAAGAGCTTTTACAGGAATTCAAATTTCAGATTCCTTACATTCTGGACATAGTAAAAAAAATAATAAATTGTTGCTGAAAATTTCTATTTTTTTTTATATTTAATTCTTTTTCTTTTTCTTTTCTTTTTTCTTTTCTTTTCTTTTCTTTAAAGTAAAATTTTAATATATAGATATATTATTTTTTCTTTTTTTTTTTAAATGAAGAAATTAGATGAGTATTTTGTGGACGAATTTGGGTTGTTCAGGATCAAAGCTTCTATAAAATGCCCCAAGCAAAACTTAATCGTAAAATAAGATATATGTATTTTTTTTATAGTGCTCAAAAGCACCCCATTCCTGTTTGCCCCTTTATTCGTTTGGTTTAAAATAAAGCTCCTTACCTTTAATCATGGGGCAAAATGTTGTATATCTGTTATAAAAATCTGTTTTATTAAAATATTAAACCGCTTCTTAATTTTATTTTCTAAAATACAAAAAAAAAATATTTGCTGTTCTCTAGGTAGTGCCTGTGGCCTAGTCGATAAGTGAGTGTCTGGGCTCCAATCCAGCAGGAACCATTTTTTTTATGAAGCTAACTAGATGGTTTCGTGCTTGATACAATGGAATAAAGTTTTTTTTGCTAGATCCCTCTGTCCCCTTTAATAATCCTTGAACTACATTTCCCAAAGATCTCTATTCAAGATTATGTTTGATCGGAGTTCACTCATTTTCCTAATTTATCTCCACAGACTTCCATTTTGTCGTTTAGCTTACCATTGCTCATAGCCACTGTACCCCCCCCCCCTTAAAATTTCTCCAGCATTCCTCAACCAATTTAAGTCCTGATGCAGCTAAAAAACATGGTTACTTTCCTAGTGAGCTCTAGGTTAAACTTATTTTAATCTCAGCTAATAGTAGATTATTTAGATTCTTTCCTCCAAGCTGTCCTGCCTTCAAATTGGAACTGTTGATTTTTCTATTTAATTTTTCTATTTGACTTTTCCTCATAAATTCTTAAATGAAATCTTTGCTTTTAACATTTTTTGTCAGTTATCTTTAAGTTAGTCATAACTTTCATCGTAAAACACCCCTGAAAATTAGATACGAATAAGTCAATTTGTGATCTCTGGTTTATTTTTTGTTAGCATGGTTAGAGTATTTACTTCTCTATAGAAGATAAAGGTATTTCCCATTTTAAAGTTCACGACAGAAGCCAAGGATTTTTCTGATTTGGGTTAGTTATATGGTAGCATTTCAATTTAATTTCTCATGGATATATATCTTTTCTTTACCAATTTTGGAATTCATATTTACAAGAATGATTTATATTGTGTCTTTCAAGTACAGAATTGGCGAGATTATTCTAGAAAAGGAAGTCTTTTCCTACCTAATATATTTCGTTAATTTCTTGTTAATTGAGAACATATGGAATCTGTTGATGAGAAAGTGAGAAAGAAAGAGAGGAAAGTTAAGTTTTGATATAAAATAAATTTTGACTTATTAAAAATGGTGTCGATGCCTTTGTACCAAAATATTATTTTTTTTTAAAGCAATTTACTTTGCATAATATAAGGTTATACCAGTCTTTACTAACAATCAGAGTTAGAATAATGACTTATATTGGTTAAAACGATGGTAAATTGAATAATTTAGGAATATTTAAAGTAGGAATTATCTTTACTACTATGTCTTACTTATCTTACTAAGACACAATAGTTGATTTTTTTTATTTCAATTTTTCTCCAGGAAGTTAAAATATTACAATTTTTAAATTCATTAAAAAAATATCCAAATCTGTTAATAACTATTTTCCCTAAAATTTATAACTTAATAAATTTTTTTAAAATTATCGAAAATAAAATATATATAATAATCATATTATTTTCATTATAATAATATTTAATTCCCTACCAATCAGTAATATGCAATATTGTTGATTGACGTTTGCCCTATAATTTACTAAATATATCTTTAAAAATGGCATAAAACTGGGACAAGAATAAAAGAATTTTTTTTTGCCCATATACATCTATATATATGCTTTTAAACATTTATTTAATATCCATATTAGAAAGTGATAATTGGTCCGAAAGGAGAAAGAATCAAAGGAATTAGCCAACGGGTGAGTCAAAATCTGATGAATACCTTTAGAACTGATCTTTACTTAAGCCTGGGCGTTAAATACAGACCTTTATAATAATAATCTATTTCCTATATTAATTAATTATTTTTTAATATATTATATATATATTTACACCTATAATATAAATGATACTGTACTATACTTATTAATAAATCATGTTTAATATTGTATACTGAACTGATGTTAACAATGATATCTAATTATTAATTCGCCGCCATTAAAATATTTTGCACTTCACCTTAACCGGAAGCGGGATTTATTATACAATAAAATTTATTTTAATGTCAAAAATTATAATATTTTTAAAAATTTCAATTTTGATAAAAAAATTACAATTATAAATGTAAAAATTAAAGGTCAGACACGTTAGTTATTTCTTAATATTTAAGTATTCACCTTTTGTTATGTTATGAATTGCTTAAGCTTTATTATCCCGAAATTAGAGAGATCAGAGCTCTACGTTACTATGGGATTCCATTCAAAATTGTGTAAACTCATGATACTGATAAATGTATCTTAGCGAAGGTCATATACTTTTTATACTTTATTATTCAATACATTTTTCGTAAAATACTTTATTTTCCAAAGTTGATAATTTAAATACCTTTTATATCTAAATATAAATATACATCATAATTAAAAATGTGTTAGGTATAGTAGTTATATATAGTTTATATTGAATTACAGAAATAACAAAATATATTTCGAAATCATTATGTAATTGCGAGCAATAATAAAATATAGTTATATAACTATATATATATATATTCAATATGCTTTTTATAGTGTAGCCAATTTTATTTTCAAACAATTCAGTAATATTAGATTTATGTTTTAAGATAAAACTAAAATAAGAAATTTCTGCCACAAATTCTAAAAAAGATTAAATAATTAAAAACCCGATTAAAAAGAAAACCATTCCATTACAGGTGGGGGAGAGGGGGGGGATAGTGTTGAAATTTCTATTTGCGTAGATTCTAAAAACGGTTAACTTCATATTTTTGCCAGAAAAAAATCGCCTATGACTCGAGATTTCATTACTAGATGTCTAAATTTTTGTGCTAATCTCTGAGCAAAATTTTCAAGCTTACATAATATCTTTCTAGATAAAGGTTATTCGTTTTAAAAATCTTCTTAAATCGAACCGTTTAACAACACTAGGCGGGAAGTGGGAATATCCCAATTTTCAAAAGAAAATTTGAATTAAATAAAGTCTTTAATTTTTATAGGAAATTTATACTATTTTATAGTTTCTTTTGTGGTTACTAGTGCTGTTATCCCCTAAGAAATTGACTTTACAAACATCTAAAGCCACAACCTAATGATAGAGACTATTTTTTTTTTAGAATAAATACTTAGCTAAACCGTTTTAGAGCTGGTCAAAGTTAGATGGTTTAACAACACTAATGGTTACCACAAACGAAGTCATGGAAAATATTATAAAATACATCACATTTTTAGGGAATAAATGGGATAGAATATGATTTCAGATGAAAATATTAACATGATATTATATTTTAAATCATCGATATTTCTAACAACACGTATTCATCTCATATTAAATATTAATATATAATTAATTATACATTTCCCCAAAAAGAGAAATTTATAAATATACAGAAGCGTCTACATAAATGGAGTAGGGGGGGGTGGTAGCAGTTTGCTTCTAAATTTTTCAAAACAGGGTGGATTGGCATCTAAAGGAATAGATATAGTTAGGAATTGGGGGAGGTCTCCATTTTTTTGTTAGACGACCGCCTAGCCTATTAAAAATCTTGTCACTAGGCTCAAACAATATTATTTAGGTTATAATATTAATATGACCGTTTTAAAAAATCGACCCTAATCGGACTTTTTAACGATAACTGGAGTCTTGCCAAAATGGGACGATTAAAATTTTACCAAAAGATACGTGACCTGTTAGATCTATCAATCTTCAAAAATTCCTTTATAATACAAAACTAGTGTAAAAAAATACTTTCTGGTATTTAGCGAGGAATATCAGATCGATTGATTTTTATGAATCGATAAAATATTTGAGAAGAAATTATCAAATAAAAAAAAAACACTCACTTCAAAAATTACTGTTAATATAATTAAATTGATTATATATTTCCTTATGTCGATTGATCATATATAAATTTAAAGAATTAATCTTAAATTTGAATAGTTAATCTTATATTATAAATTGATGTGTTTGATATAATTTAACTATTCACAAAAACGTGATATTATATATTTTTCAATTAACTTTTTATATATATATATACTATGTTTTTAGATATAATATAATAATAATAAAATATTAAACAAATTTTGTTTTTAATCTTATTTTCATGGTGCCCCGGTTACGGTGGTACGTTTTTCGTTTTAAATTAAAGTTAAATGATAAAAGTTTAAAAAAAATATTAAAAAATATCCTTACCTTGAATTCTTTAGTAAAAATAAAAAGTATACGAATTATTTATCAAATTCGTCGTTCGATATTGGAGATGATATAAGGACAAATAAAATTTTTTGACTTTTCTTTTTGATAGTCAAAATTTTATCCAAATTTACAAAATTATAAAAGAATCAAATATTATTCACTACCTTACCTATTATGACTATCTTATCTATTATGACTATCTTATCTATTGTGACGATTGCTTAATCCATTGAGATGACTCTATTTATATGACTACCTATTGTGACGATTGCTTAATCCATTGAGATGACTCTATTTATATGATTACCTATTGTGATGACTATCTAACCTATGGAGACTGCTTAACCTATGGAGATGACTACCTATTATGACTACCTTTTCTATTGTGACTACCTAATCTACTGAGATGACTATCTAACCTATGGAGACTGCGTAACCTATGGAGATGACTATCTATTATGACTACCTTATTTATTGTGACTGCCTAATCTATTGATATGACCAATGCCTAATCTATGGAGATGTTAGCACGTTCTTTCATGCAAAAAGCTTCTTTCTTCATGGTGTCCCGGCTCTGGATGTTGGACTGGAATATGATAACCAGCACCTAACCTAATGTGACAACCTAGGAACAACTGATATGGAAGTTGAACGATAGGTTATTAATTCTATTTTGTGAGACCAATGATGATTACTTATTATTCTAATCCACGTAAGAAGAAAAGTTATTAAAAATTAAAATTTTATGCCAGGATAAAGGCATGTTATAAATTTTTAAAATCACTAAAATGTAAAATCATAATGGATATATTTGAACACAAAAAAGCCTTTAAAAAATTATTTACTTAAATTCTTAGTGAAATATTATTTTTTGATTTCTTTAATGATGACCAATTGTTGTAAATTAACAACTAATCCTAAAAATGAATTCTTAGATATAATTAAATATAAACCATTATAAATCCTAAACAAGAAGATAAAACTTTAATTTTAAATATATTAAAGTGTAATTAAAACATATGAATTAAAAGGGATTGATTTAAATAACCCTTATAAGTAATACTTAATATGATAAAAATGTTTTTGAAATAAAGCTTTTGAAGACAAAAGGTTATGTAAAAATTAAACATCATTATTTTAGAAAAATATTGTGAGAAATTTAAATTTTTTTTAAGAGAGGGAAATGTGCATATTATTTGCATATTTTAACCTCGGAGATTGAAAATAAATAAAAATAAATTAAATATTAAAACGCTACTAATTAAATATTGAAACGCTAAAAAATGTAAAACGCTAAAAAATCTAAAACGCAAAAAATGTAAAACGCTAAAAATATAAAACGCATAAAACGCTAAAAGTATAAAACGCTATGATTAATAAAAAATAATATAATAATCATTATGATTTATCATTCCTTATTTTATTCCTTATTCCTTAAATTATCATTCCTTATTACATATTTTATTGTTCCGAAATTCAAAATTTTATTCGTGCATATTATTCATATATTTGATTTGATCAACTATTCCAAATTACATATTCCGATTTATTCTAAATTCCAATACTCGACTGGATTAATTATGAAACATGATAATAACAATTTTGATAAATGTGAACAACATACGATAAGGATATCAAGCCTACAGAAAACGTACAAACTTACGCAACTCTAATAAACGATTTTATCAAACCTACGTGATAGAATCAAGCCTACGAGAACATTTGAGGCCAAGATAAAACCGAGTACAATCGAAACGGGAAAAAACTTCTGGGACAACAAGCTCTCGATGACTGCTGAGAAGAAGCTTCGTTCTTTGTAGAAGAGGGGGAATGTTGATTGATCATATATAAATTTAAAGAATTAATCTTAAATTTGAATAGTTAATCTTATATTATAAATTGATGTGTTTGATATAATTTAACTATTCACAAAAACGTGATATTATATATTTTTCAATTAACTTTTTATATATATATATACTATGTTTTTAGATATAATATAATAATAATAAAATATTTAACAAATTTTGTTTTTAATCTTATTTTCACCTTATTTCTCTATTCTTGCCAATCTATGCTCAATGTTTAAAAACCGTCATACCTCATTAATTAAACCGGCCCTGAGTGTAGGGTAAATTATTGCCATACAGTGTAAGTAAATTTACTATACAGATGAGGCCCTTTATAGGGTAGTGGAGTGTCTGCTTAATTATAGAAGTCTCCCAAATCTATGATAAGATAAGGAAATTAAATTAGTTAAATTAAATCAAGATGCCATTATCATTTAATTTTAATATTATAACAAAACATACTCATCACTGAAGAGATTTTAAGTGTAGACAAAAAAGGAAAACAAAAAAATATATTTTATATATTATGTCTATATAAAATGTTCATCCATTTACTATATATATATATATTTTACAAAAAATAATATTTGACTAACATAAAAGTATAATCTTAAAATAAACTAAAATATCAGTTACGACTAAAATAAAGGTTACCATTTGAAAACTAAAATAAAGGTTACAAATTGTAAAACTAAAATAATATTATTCAAAAATATTACAATTTGTAAAACTAAAATTATATTATTCAACAATCACATTCAAGGAAATACATACTTATCATTCAAGAAAATAGTTTTGGATAATTCTCATATGTATGTATGTAAAATGTAATTATTAACTCAAGATGTATTTATTCAACATAATATCCAATTATAATAACATTATTCAAGAAAATACTGATTTATTCAGGAAATAGTTTTAGAACATTCTTATATTTATAATATATATTTTGATAAAAATTTCTAATTTTGTTTAAATTAAATAAATAAATTTTGTTGAATTAAATATTATTTAGTAATAAATTAATATTTATTATTTTTTTTTATTTGTTCTTTGTGCATAATCTATGAGGAGCAATAACTAAATTTATTATAAAACTATTAATGCTAAAGGTTGATGTGGACTATAGATTGTAAGCAAGACCATTTATTAGATATCAAAAAATATGGTTCAGGTTAAGAACAAATATTAAGTTTAAGTAGTGGTGACACTAGCCTATACAAATTCAGTTGGCTCAAAAACTTCTAAAAAATTTTTCATAATTATTTATTTTTTTAGCTATCATTATACAAAATTACATTTTTTTTTAGCTAACATTATCGAAATTGCATCTTATATAAAAAATTCAAATTTTGAGGGGCTCTTCACATTTTTCAGTATACCCGAGCCCCTATGCCCCTTTAGTGAAGCTATAGGACAATGACCAGTTTGGAGATATGCAACAAAGGTAAGGGTAGTGTTTATATTGGATGAGGAGGAATAAAAATTATTGGTATGAAGTTTAGTAAAATATCTTTTAGTTTTATTTAAAAATAGTTAAAGTAAGCTAGTTATATAAATTATATGAATTCAATTGTGAAAATTTTTGATATCCTCAAATTTCATTAAATTATATTATTAAGGGATAGTTAAAGTAAGCTAGTTATATAAATTATATGAATTCAATTGTGAAAATTTTTGATATCTTCAAATTTCATTAAATTATATTATTAAGGGATAGTTAAAGAGTCTGGAAATAAATATTCAGACAGATGTTCTAGGTAATATTATCGCATAAAGGAATTTGGTGATGAAAGAAATAGCTACAGGAATAATAGGAATAAATAATGTTTATCATTTTATATTAAATATATGTTTACTTTTTATCTTTTACTAAAATTATATGCCAAACTCAGGCTAAGCTCTTAAAAATTGCGAGCTAACTCAAAATATTTATTTTTCAGTGAAATAGGTGCTTTACATTTTGAAAGATATTTTCTTTATTTAAAATCAAAGGCTAAAGTCTATATTTAGAAAAATTCAATGAATATATGGGTTCTAAATGCTATTAAAATGCTATTTCCGATTGAGGTAACATATAGTAAAGTAATAGGCATATGTTAACATAAAGCTAAATAATCGATCCATTTTTGAATTAGCGTACGCCATCTTTTATTAAAAATTTTAAAATATTGTAATTTATGTCCTTTCCAAATCAAGCACATATGATCCCTCAAATGAGTTATATGATGCCACCCGGTATGTCAATGATGCCTATGAATATTATGCAAGGAGTAAGCTAATTTGCATATTTTTGTGACTAAATAAATTATATGTATAAATTAGGTATATGTACCCCCACCTTCTATGGGATTTCCAGGTCAAATGCCTAACATGAATCAACCCATGCAATCATATGTATATCCAACTGCTAGACCAACTCTTACACCTTTACCTGTTGTCAGTCTTCCTATACTTGAAAAATTGGTAATGGCTCAATTTACTTTAATTTAGAAAAATCTTTAACATTGTTTTAAATAATATTCTTATCATTTCAGCCTGCTCCATCATTAATTAAATCTAATCCCACTACAACAGTATTTGTCGGTAATATAAATGAAAAAGCCCCTGATATGCTAGTCAGAAATATTTTGAGCAAAATTGGAAACATTATTAGTTGGAAACGAGTTCAAGGAGTAGGAGGAAAGTTACAAGGTAATAGCTTCTTATTTTTTTATATCAAAATTTTTAATATATTAGAAAATATCACCTAATTTAGCAAAATTATATATTATTTTTTATTATGGATTCATTTTACTATATAAAATTATATACATAATTTTACTGTAGAACCTGTTTTGTAACTGAATATCCTATTAAATATTAGTTGTAGCATAAGATTTTTTTTATTAAATGTTTTAACTACTGGGGGGGGGAGAGATCAGCCCTCATGTTAAAAATAAAAATGATGCTAATTACTGCAAAAAAATTATGCCTAATTATCATTTTTATATATTTAAAATAAACCAACAGCATAAATGATCAAAGGTATTTATTTTTTTTATTCTCTAAAATATTTTTAATGTCTGCATATGAATCTACTGTTAACAATCTATATTTGACCAAATTTTACATAATCATGATTATACCTCAATAATATCACATAAGTCTAGAAAATTTGGCACTAGAAGTCCTGTCACTTGTGGGCAAAATCAATAAGCGTGAAGTAATTTACTTATGGCCTAAACCTTGAGTTAACCATTTTTAAAGATTAATTAAATTGAGCCGTTGGTAAATGTGACAGATTCCTTTTCTTGTTGGAGATAATATAATATAAAATAATGTACAAATCAGTGACGTGAGGGGGTCCATACATATATAAGACTGGGGGCTTCACCTCCCAGACCCCTTTAATGGGCCTTCGGCTGGGTTTATCTTAAAAATCATAACAATATCTTGGATATTATATAATAAATATAGTTAATGCATCAATAATATATTACTATAATTTCGTAGATTATCTCAAATTATCATTCCACGAACATCAAAAATATAAATATTCATGGTATTTATTTGATATAAAGTAACTTTTAAGTCTTTTGAACGTATAATCTAAAAAAAATATTTGCTCTGGGAGGGGTCCAAACTCGAAAACCACCCTCGTAGCTACGCCACTGGTACAAATGTTAACTACCTTTTTTTTGCACATTTTATAGAACAGCTGATTTGAATATTTTTTATTTCTTTCAAATAATTTATTACAAAATTATTTATTAAGTAAAACAAACGAATAAAAATATTGGGTTGGACTTGGGTTCCTAAAATATTGGTTTGAGCCAATGTTTTTTGAAGAGGGGCTAAATATCAGTGCCAATTAGATCCGATATCTAATTTTGGCATATCCTTAACCCTTTAAAGATCGACTTTTTAAAATAAAACTAAAAAATTTATTTCCTCACACATAGTCCTTAAATATGCGATAACACATAATTTACATCTTTTTCGAGTCTTAGAAACTTCTGGCCAATGCCTGCCCTAAATTATCATATCTATCGTCAGTTATTATCTGAGGTAACTTGGATCCTTTTTGTATTTTAGGATTTTCATTTGATGGTCTCCCTATTTTTCTTTTACTAATCTTCAATTAACAAGGCAGGAACTATTTGAGATTTAAATGTTATAAGTTTTATAAAAGATTTTTTATTTTTTTGAAGTAACTATCAAACAAAATATTATTTGAAGTGATATGGTGTTGGAATATTATTTTGGTGATTAGAAATTTTTTTTAGAATATGTTGTATCAAATGATTCAATATTTTTTAATACTCAATTACTACTTAGATTAGGATTAAAATTATCCTCATTATCAATATCCGTTTCCGAAATATCACCTTCAATTATAATTATTTTATTTGACATCTATGAAAAATAAAATTTATTCAATGCTAATAAGATACTTTATTAAATTCCCAATGAGTTAATTTGGCATCATAATTTTAAAATTATATTTACAAAAATAATTAAAATTTAAAAAAAATATAAATTAATGATGACATATTTGAATATTTTGTCTTTGTAAAATAAACAGTTTTCAAAATTTTTCAATTAAAATATTCAGAAAAAATCGAAACGGAAATATAGTCAAAATTCACATGATAATAAAATAAAAACAAAAGCATATATTTTTTATTATAATTGATAAAATACGATGGAATACATTTGTATATTTATTTGAAAATGTTAAAATTAAATCATTGAGTGGTTTCAAACGTTAAAAAATAACATTCAATAAGATGATGTCAAATAGGCTCACAGGACTTTAAAGGGTTAACTACATTATATGAAGGTTGTTTAATTAGATCTGTTATTACTAATAAATAAATTTTTTTTTTAATAATTATACAAATGCAATCTTATAGCCTTTGGTTTCTGCGAGTTTGATGATCCAGAAGCAACCCTCAGATCCATTAGACTGTTGCACACTTTTGATTTGGGTGGGAAAAAACTTATGGTACGTAAATGGTTATTATTTTACCTAACATAATATTATCATAGAATAGAGCTAAAATGATTTGTTTTCTATTTCTGAATTATTTTATCTTACATAAATCTTATTTAGGAGTAGAGAGTGCATTATCTATGGTTTAATTTATGCATTTAAAGCTTCTAAAGTAGCCTTGTTAAATGGCCTGATTTTGGTCGGTTTTTTAAAAACGGCCCGATTAAGATCTGATTTGCCCCCGGTTGGGCCATTTGACAACACTACTCAGAGCTTTTAAGATTGGGGTAATTTGGGATTTTTATGCGAATCTTGAACTCCAAAACTGTATAAAAGACAAACATTTTGACTATATTGTGAATAGTCTCCTTATCAACTCCACATTTTAGTGTTATAATTTCCTGTTTTATTATTGTAATAATGAGCTTTGGTTAAAGTTACACTGGTCATAGTATCATTCACGGGAACAGTTACTGAAGGATCCTCTAATCCTTGAGATCTGGTATTGTCACGATTAACTTAATATTTGCTTTATTGAACTGTAAAAATAATCTAAAATATTTTCTTATTAGAAGACTGGGCTAGAAATAGGTTTTCCAGACTGGGCCAGACAAATTGTAGAAAAATATCCTAAAACAGGTTGCTAAAATTTTGCAAATATTAGAGCTGATAATTTCCCTTTATAAAATTATTAAGCCGGTTTGGGGCAGGAGAGGACAACTCGTATAAAATAATTTTAGGGGACAGGGAGGGTATAATTAATTATCGGCCATCCCAAAAATACAAATAATTTCCGCGGGTTGGGCTAGGCATTGCCTGCCTCTACAATGTTAACTATCAAAATATGTCCAATGCGAAATGGTTTAAGTGATGAATTCTTCATCAGTAATATCAAGAGAGTTGCAGTTATATATGGGGTTGGGGGTAGAGCCAAGTAGTGAGATCGTACGGTTGATGGATCTGGTTGACTTCCCTTAATTTTTGTCATATATATTTTCTAGATTCCTATTAATATATTTATTGGTTTCAGTTTTTATTTAAAAAAAACAATTTTTAAAATTATCTAAAATATTTAGTGCTGTAAACATTTTTAAAAAAAGGTGAACGCGTTCATACGTTCAAAATTTTATGATAAATTTTTTTTCAAAATTTAATTTGATATAAATAAATGCCTTATATTTTTCAACACAATATATTAGCCATGATAAAAAATAATAGTTTTATTTTTGATAATATAATTATAAATACAATATAATAGAGCGATAAAAAAAATAAATTTATAAAAAAATTTTTCTTATTAATTTTTAATAATAATTGCTTTTCAAAATTTTCATCTGATAGGCATGAACGCTTGGCAGTTAATACAGCGTTAGCTATACTAAAAACTCGCTCAACAGGGGCAGATGAAGGGATTGCGGTGTTATACTTGATAAACAATTCTTTTAAAAGGGGGAATTTATTAAAAACATTTAATGTTTCTCCAATCTGCCCTCTTCTTCCTCGTCAAAAAAAAGGATATCTCGGAATTGATTTTAAAACAGTGAAATATTTTTGATATTTGGGCCATGGTAATTCATATTCATCTAATATTGAATTTTGATTTTCAGAATCTGATGATGAAATATTTATATCCATGCAAATGCTAATCTATTAAATTAAAATATAAAATATTCAAATAGATAAACTTTAATCTTATTAAGACTTTTTTGTTAAAAAATGCGGATTATTATTAATTTTTCAAATAAATAAAAATAAAAAGTGTTTTTAAAATTGAACGAACGTAAAATTGAACGCGTTCATCAAAGAAAAGGAACGCGTTCACGTTCAAAGTTCGTCAAAAAAAGGAACGCCGTTCATCACCTTTTTTCAAAAAAACGAACTTCGTTCACGAATGCGTTCATTTTGAACGCGTTCGTTTACAACACTAAAAATATTATATAATATCAATTACACAAATATTCGTTTTTTAAAATTTAAACCTAGCTTGCTCAATATTTAATTTACTATTTATTATGATAAAATTATAAATTTTTGTATTTTAAAAATCATGTTTTTTGAAAATATTTGAACTTGTTTTTATTTAAAAACAAATTTAAAGTTTTAAAATTTCAATGGATAAATATTGTTGTTGACGTTTTAGAAATACTTTTTTTGACATTCAAATTTTTATTGATAGCACCAACGCACAAATAGAAATATTTTTTTTTGTACAAAATGTCTTAATTAATCGATACTATATAGCTTAAAAATTGGTATTATAACAGAAACCTGCAGGCCCGACCGTAAGCCTAGCCTGGGTACTAAGGCCAGGCCGTATTTTAATTAAATATACCATGGCCGGGTCTAAATTTATTTTAAATATTCGATAGCCATTATTAGCTATAAAAATTTAAAAATAAATATAATATATTATTTTTAAAAAAAAATCCAAATAGCCCTTAAAATTTCATTTTAAAAAAAAATCCGGGGTTGGGCAGGGTGTAGAAATAAAATTGGATATATTTAGCAGAGTTGTTAAAAGATACTTTTTAAATGGATCTAGATACAGATACATCGTCTAAAATAATATCTAGATACAGATATTTTAATCAAAAATCTATCTAGATACAGATACCATATTTTTATATCTAGATACTTGTATCTAGATCCTTTAACAACTCTGATATTTAGCAACGCCTTCCGTAGTTTAAACATGGAACAAAATCATATTTTTTTTTTGGCTAAGAATGGAATGGGAACAAAGGAGCCCTTTGTTCAGTATTCTTGATGCTAATTGTCTATTATTTACATGTGGGCGAACATTTAACGATGAAATACATCCTATATTTCATTAACCTAGATATCGATTATAGCTCTATGTCCAAATTTTTACCAGATTTTTTTTTAAAAATTACTTTTGGTTTAAGATGGCATATCTACGTACATGTCAATCGACTCTAAAAATTTAAAATAATATTTATTTTTTTTTTAAAAAAAGAGTTTATATTATGTTTAAATATGAAAATTAAACTTTGGGCAAAATTATTTTGAATCTTTAAATGCCTAAATAAAATTTTAATATTAAAAAGCATATGAAATGCGTGCCGCAGACTTCTCAACTAACCAATGGCTGGCTGAATAGCAAAACGCTTTAATATTGTAAAAAAAATTGTTATTAAATTTTGTCAAATACACCCATCTCAGGGGAAAGAATTTATATTAAAAAAAAATTTGTAAATGAGATATATATAATTTATAATTAGACATTCTCGATATCAGCTAGTGGCTCCTTTAACGATGTAAATGTAGCAGTTGCAGGGCATATCTGGTTAAAAATATTCTAGGGAATTTTATGTGAATAACCTACCTGCCTTCACTTATGTCATAACCTGTTTCTGATTTAAAAATGAGTTCTGGTTCTTAAATTTGTTTCGGTTCTAGTTTTCTGGCCCATAATCATCTGATATGGGGTTGACAATTGGTAAGATCATTTGTGTCCACCAAGTCAACGATGGTTTTCCTAGTTATTATGCACCCCCTCTGGAATTATGCGTAATCACTGGTAGATAATTTTTAAAGGGTTAGCAATAGAATTCATTGAGTCATATCTGGAAATATTTTAAAATTAACAAATCCCAACTTACCCCTATCCCCGAGGGAATCAATTTATTGTTGTATTCTAGATAAAATAGCAAAAAATTACACTGGGATCGGGCCAGAATAATTAATTTTTAGAAATTAACCCTAAATCAAGAGAGATAAACTATGCTTCATCATCGTTTATTATAAACGCGACAATATGAAAATTGTTAGCCAGGTAATATAAATGAGCATCTGGCCGTCATTATTTTTTTATTATTATTAAAATGGTGGCCACAGATGGTAATATTATAAATGCCTCAAACATGTGATTAGTTGTGTATGTGAAAAAAAAAATATATACGGGATCAATATTTTAACAAATGACTTGTTAAAGATTATCGTTCGCCATTTAATTCACTCACCAACTTTAAAAATATTATGGCACATACACATTTTTTTTAAATCCATAATACTGTTTATAATGTGATAGGTAAAAGTTGATGCCAAGAGCAAGGAAAAGCTCAGAGAGTACCGACTCAACAAACGCAAAGATGGCGGTTCGCTCAATAACAGCGGCGATAGCAAGGCGGAAACGGACGAGGAGATTTTCAAACCGGACGTTAACGCCGTCAAAAGAGACAACAACATATTGCACGAGATCAAAAAGCTCATCAAAGAAAACGCCCACGAATTTGTTAAGACCGGTAAAGATGTTTGCGTGGATCACGAAATATATATATCATTCCGTAGCTCTCAGAATTGTCCTTAAGAAGATGCCAAAATTCTTTTAAAAATCTTCAGTGCCATTCTATTTCCGGCTAAACAATAAAAAAAAAATATTTTGAGAAGGGCACAATTAGAAAGGACTAGACCCATCAAATATGTTCTTTCTTTTTTTCTTTATTTCTTTAAATATTTAAGTAAAAAAAATATTAATGGAGAGAATAAGAATTTAAATTTTATTTAGCCTTTATAATTTTAGGAATAAAAAAAAATTAGTTATAGAGGGCGCTAATTTTAAAATGTATTAGTTATAGAGGGCGCTAATTTTAAAAATAATTATAACGTATTTTATGGTACAAAGAAATTTCTAGTATGTATAATTGAAAATATCACATAGGTCATCTATAATATTAAATGCATATATTTTTATTTGAAAAAAAAAATTTATTCGCAAAATTTATAAAATGTAAATACTTTATATATATATATTAGTGAGGTTGTTTATCATTAGATAAATTTTTTTGTTTCACCGGAAATAGATTAAAACTGATAATACTGGTATTTAGGAGAAATTACAAAGGGTTATAAAATGATATATTTGTAACTTGGACCAAATGTTTATCTGGTAAGTTAATCTAGTAATTTTAGGGTCCTTTTATTGGACTTTGAGCGTTCATAACTCCGGTTCTATTATGACAATCTATTTAACTTCCGTTACCGAGTTTCACCCATTTTAAAATTGGTCGTCTCGAACACTGGGTGATTTACCATGAAAAATTACCCAAAGGCCTTTTTGGTCAATGTAACCGAATAATCTTTTCTCACCAGTTTCACACCTTTTCAGCTAAGCAATTGATTAGTTATAAGATTAGGTGACCTTATAAAATTGAAAACCGTATTTATTTATTGATACATTTTTCTAATAAATAAATTCCTATAGCCGAGGATGAGCTACAAGCTACCAAAGAAAAATTGAATAAAACTCAAAAAATTGGGGTAATAATTTTTAAATTTTTCATTACTTTTTTCTTTTCAAAATTATTCATGTCCTATAGAATTCTTTGGTTTTGGTATTTTCCGTATCAATAGATAGGTTTTTATGCTAAACTCTAAAAATATTTCAAGAATTTTTCATTTTACGATTACAAGAAATCAAATTTTATTATTTTTTTATCTTAGAATATTGCTTTAGACGAAGAAAAGACTGACGTTATTTCCAAAGAAATTTTGCGCTTCAAGGAAAATAACATGGTAAATTCCTTTATCCTTATATTTGCTTTTTGATTGGGTATTTGTTTTTTTTGTACATGTATATTAACTTAAATTAACAAGTATTAAAGTTTTATTTACAAAATAGTTTAGTTTAGTTACCCTTACAATTTGTTAAGTATCATGTACAGCTTAATGACACATGACTCAATTAGAGCTAAACGATACTTTTCTAAATTGTAAGGGTGGTTTCTGGCTTTGTTTCTTTTTAATATACCTCTACTTATATAAATCATATATATATATCTAATTTCATGTAACATTTTTTAAAAAATTTTTTTTAAATATAAATATTATATTTTATTATCGCAAAAAAGGTTGTAAAAATTATATTGAGGTTATAAAAAAATTCTTAAATAAAAAAATATTCTTCTATTCACTCAATTGAAAAAAAATTCCACGTAAGAAATTATTTACTGCATTATATAATATATTTATATATTTATATTTATGCCTTTTTGAAAAAAAAATTAATTTGTCATTTTTATTACGAAATAATAATAAATTTTTTTTATATTATAAATGAAAAATAATATCCTGTTGTTAAAATGTCAACGCCAAAGAAGTCTTAGAAGAAAAATCAGTAAATTTTAAACAATTTTACTTCATAAAAAAAAATTTATAACCAAAATAATTGTCGTCTACAATGCTTGTCCCGTATGCCGAAATAGTTTATAAAAAAATTGATTTTGGGACTAAGAGTTTTTTAAAAAAAAAATAAATTGAAAGAAAGGGATGGATGCCTTTGATTCTGTCTGCAAACCCTTCTTGTAAGTGAAAAAAATTATTATTATTTCTTTTTTTTTTACAGATTACATAAATAAATGACAGTTTTTAAATTGCTTTTTTTTTGTATTATCGTAAATGGTAAATTCACAATATACATCAAATCGAATTCACCTCTAGGAAAGAAAAAAAGTAAATAAATAAAAAAAAAATTTATACATAATTTAGCGATTAATACATGTCAACGTCACTCACAGCTGTTAAATCCGATTTGGGACAAAAGGGTGTTCCGACCAAAAAAAATCATTTGGGAAGTTACTGAATTTAATTTTTTTTTTGTGGAGCAAAAAAAATATATAGTCCGTTTAATTATTGATCACATTTCTTCTCCCAAGAAGTTTCTCAATTTATATATACATATATTCACTTCACTTTTGATATTTTATTTTATCTCGCTTTCTAGCCTGCTAAATCTGTGATTGTTTTTAAATATTTCTGAAAAATTTTACCGCTCTTGTATATTTTTGATAAAATAATTTTTTATTATTAATCATATATATATTTATATTATATGTATTACGCAGAAGGATGAAAAATTCCGCGAAAAAATGAGGGAAAAAGGGCGCGAAAAGAGGGAACGAGAAAGGCAGCTCAAAGGTAGCCCTTCCGAATCCAAGGAGGAAGGGGTGGACAAAGAAAAGTAAAAAAAAAGAAAGAGTTTGAACCAAAATTTGGGTTCAGAAATTCAAGATTATTGAACATTTTGCACACGGACCAAACCTAAACCGATTCATGGACAACCAACCGAACTGGGGCATCTTCAGACCTCTTTCAAAAAATTGGCTTATGATTAAGCTTGTATTGTCACGATCTTCGCTGAAGGAGGTTAAAGATTATTGAACTACAAATTCGGGATCGAACCCTTAAAAAAAGAGTCGCCATTCCTCCATTCATTTTTTTTTATAACTTTCTATAATTAATTTCTTCTTAATCACGATTAATATTTTTTTTCTCGAAAATAAATAGGAAACCATCTGTCATGAGGAGATACAGGCCCTCGAGATCTCGTTCGGGCTCCCGTAAAAGGCACAGGGCCAGGGAGGCAAGCGCCGAGAAAGAAAAGTTTTTTTAAAATTTCGTTTTTTCTTCTCTTAATAAAGATGGATGAATAGGTTTTGGGAAATTAATTCATTAATAAAGCATCAATATTCATTAGCCAACTGTCATAAAGGGCATTTGAAACTTGGCAACTCAATATTTTAGCCATTGCCTTAAGCCTCTAGGTTTCGCTAATAGATGTCCAAACCTTTGGGTCATCTATGAGAAAAATCTTCAGGCTTTGCGTGACACCAATTATCTTTATTTTTATAAAAGGAGGGAGCGAAAGTCTGCCAGCGTTAATAAGGAGGAAAAGGAAGCGGCGGAAAAAGCTCGGGAACTGAGAGAGCAGAAGGAGCGAGAACGGATTCGATTGGCCGAGGAGGAAAGGGAGAAGACGTACGAACGGCGTAAGCTCGAGCGCAAATTGCGCGAAAAGGAGGCGTCTTACCAAGAGGTAAATTTATCACTTACATTCTATATGATAGGTGGGGAAAGGAGAGTGAGACTAAAGAAAAAAAATGATTGAGGAGTGGGGGAGGTTTGGATAAAATATTTACAATTTTAAACGTTTACCTTTAAAAAAAGCAATTACGAGGCTGGGAAACTCGTGAATCCAAGAAATTGAGGGAACACAGGAAGCAGAAACAGTACGAAGAATATCTCAAGGAAGAGGAACTCACCGAAGCTAAAAGGCTCAAGGAGTTCCTAGAAGATTATTTGGATGATAGGGACGACGCCAAATATTACAAGTTTAAATTTCTTTCTTATTTTTTTTCATTAGGCTGTGTCCAAAACTATTTTTAAAATAATTCGTAAAAGTTTCGAAAATTTTAATGAAATCTTATATGTCATAAAATAAATCAACTTTCTAAAATTATCTTTTGCACATGTTTTTATATTTAAAATAGCTTATTTATTTATTTTGGATTTTTATAAATCAAAACTAAAAATTTTTTTTGTAAAATTATGGACCAGTTGAAGATATCTTTTTATATTTTAACAAGGGCAGAGATTATCTTTAAAACATTGAATAAATAATATATTTTGATACAATACACTCAATGATGTCGAATTGTATCTGTATCAGTTCTTTTATACCTATAATAATACTATTGAAATAAAATGTGTGTTTTTTTTATTGCACGATTCTAAAACCTGACCTTAAAGGGTTAAATTAGATGCGTACGTCTTATTGGAATACGGGATCCATGTGGATTCGTGGATCCCTCTAATTAAATTCATTTGCTGATGGCAATTTTTTAAATTAAATAAAAAATCTCATTTGACCAAAAATGTATCTTACCATGCGCATACTACCTACCCTAAATTTCGCATGATTTTCGCCATAAATAAATTTCGCGAAACTGTTGGAATATAACAGTGCGGGTATTCTATACATGCGGAAATAGATTTCCAATCCAATCAGATGTTTCACATTTAAAAATCTTTTCTCAATAAATGATTTAAAATTGAGAGATTCCCTTGAATTTCTTGTCTCAATACAACACATATATATAAGATTAGGGAACGAGAGATCAAATGGCGGGAAAAGTTTAAAAAATATATAAAACATTTTGGTCCGACTATTGATAAAATACGATTGAATTTATTATGGCAAATTGAATCATTGAGCATTTTTTAATGGTTATAAAATAACATTCAATTAATTTGATGATGTCAAATTGGCTTATGAGACATTTTTGAAGGGGCTTAAAATTAAGAAATATATTTTTTTTAAACATTTTTCTTAGGGGTTCATTTCTCGCTCGCAGGCTTAAAGAACGGGAGAAAGAGATGGAGATGGACCTGAAAGATAGGCAGAAGGAGAAGGAAGAGATCGAGGAGATTAAAGCTAGGCTCAGGACAGAATGTCATCCCAATCTGGAACTAGAAATGGCCAAGGTATTTTTTTTGTTTATTGAATTGAATTTCGTTATATATCAGAGGATGAAAGGTTACTTTTCACAATACATGGCACAAATACCTCTCTAGATATCTAAGCAATTTTGGCATATATGCGTATCTGATAAGAAATTTCAAATCATGTGTTTATTCACGTCGTAAGCTCGAAAAAAGCCGATCCCAGCACCTCAAACCCCAGCTCAGAATCGATAACGAAAACCGCGGTAAAAATTCAGTCCAATCTTCCCCGGTTATTCTTCCACCCTTATCTAAAAGATCATCCAAGAAATCCAGTCGGGAAGAGAAGAAAAAGAGGCACAAGAGGAAGCGTAACACCGAGACCAGAGGCGATAGCATGGAAGTAGTCGTGAAAATTGAGGAGAATCACAAAGGTTTTTTTTAGAAATAAAAATACTCCTTTTTATTATAAATCTTGGTATGTACAAGTCACATTACTGAATTAAAATCACTTAAATCTATTTTTTATGCTATCGTTAACTATGTCTCTTTTCTTACTAAAGGAAGGTCTCCTGAGAGTAAAATGATTAATCTTATATAAAATATATTAAAGCCGTGGCAAATCATAACGACATCTCTACACCCTCATCCCCAGAAACTAAAGAACAAAGTAAAAATGCTTTTTTTATAGAAACTTTTTGCTTTATAATATATTACTTAAATGAACTCTCTTTATAAATAATTTCCTTTTTTTCTACAATGTTTTGAAATTTAATTACTACAAAATAATTGGAATAAATGTGAATCAAGTCTATTACTTGTTCAAAAATTGCTTGTGCATTAGTTTAATTTCATTAAACCAATAATATCCTTACTCTACGCATACTATTTTAATAAAAAAATTTTTTGTCATTTCAGATCATACCAATTTTGTGGCAATAAAATCCGAAATCATTATCGAAGCAGATACCGTCAAATCAACCGGAGATTCAAATACCGCCGTAGTAGAAACCACTACCTGTTATAAGCCAATAGGGTTTAAGTCTTTACAGCTAGGTAATTATTACTTATTATTCATTATAATATCGATAATCCTAAAATTATTTAATAGCTTATTAGTTGTATTGTATTTGAATCTTCCTTCAACATAATGACACATTAAAATAAATTTACAGGAAAAAATAAAGCTAATGTGGACAACGTGTTTGGCGAAGAAGAAACGGATTCCAAAAAGAAACTGATCCCCCTTGACGGTTAGAATAAATTTTTATATTTTCAATTATTTTTCCTCGCCATCTAGTATTGTCGTATTTATAGTTGGGTAGTAATCACTAAGTTTCAGATAATTCCTGGCTTAATCAATAGGAGCTTGCAGTAGAAAATCGGTTAACTGAGGCGCTTTAATTTATATTAGTTTCTTTTAAATTTGAGCTGCTATATTTTCATTAGAAAATCTCCTGGGTTTTAGCGATAAGCGGTTAAAAATATACTAATTTCTCAACTATGATTTGAGTATAGGATTAGTGATGAGGTCAGAAATCGGATTGATAATATAGCAATAAATAATATGGTTCCCTGAATTTAAACATTTTTTTAAGATTATTAAGATCGGGTACTTGATGGTTATCACTTATAAGTAAAATATCAGGCATTCAATAAAGAGTAGACTAGTGTTTCATTCATTAAGATGCACATTGAAGCTTCATTGAATATACAACTGACATGACAACGCCATTTAATTTCATTTATATATATATTTTTTTAAATTATAAATGACACTCAAATTGTAAATTGTTTATATAGGAGACAAAAAATGGCGGGCCATCTGTCTATGTCGATAATAGCATAACCTTTTAATCGCTTTTTTTTCTTATCTTGTAAGGTTAATTTTTTTGTCTTTATTATGTCATGACTTAAATTGGCCAATTTTTTAAAAAAAATTAAGTTTACGAAGGGTAAATTAATATTTTTTTTTATTTGTTAAAATGGAAATTATCGGCTGATACAATAAAATATTGAAATTTCGGCTAATTAGACAGATTTGATTTTTAAATATATTATCTATATGCCCACTTTAAAATATGGGAATTATCCGGAATTTACTATTAATAAACTGGTATGAATTTTTTGTTAATATTTAAAATGCACCAATTTTTGAAGCCAGTGTTATAATGTTTTTATAGAGTTTTATTTCTCCCTGTCTTATATTTTGATTTAGGGTTACCTGATTATGTGTATTTTTTTGCAATTTATTTATAGCTTTTTTTATTATATACTATAGACGATACCCAATCTATCACCCTTGACCAATCAAATGTTTTACCCAATCCAAACGCCTCTCCCGATTCGGCCAATCAAAATTCTACTACAGGAGCCGTATCTGCCTTGACGCTGGAAGAGAAGAGGCAATCGATCAAACGCCTCATCGAAAAAATTCCTACAAATAAAACTAAGCTTTTCGCTTACAACATACAATGGGACCTGGTGGATAATGTAACTAATAAAACTTAACACGTTTTTTACTATTTAATTTATGACTTATAAGTTTTTTGGCCTAAAAATAGTTTCCATTTAAGTTCTCCATTGTAATAGATATTTTGCTAAGATTTGCATTTCCTGGTAAAATATTATTTTTCATTTGATTTTCCTCGCAGATTTTGATGGAGAAACGTATTAAACCTTGGATAAACAAAAAGATTGTCGAATACATTGGCGAGGAAGAACTGACTTTAGTGGATTTCATCTGCTCAAAACTCCTGAACAACAATTCCCCTCAATCCATACTAGACGATATTCTCATGGTTAGTAGACAATACTTGTCCCCCTCAGTCTATATCCTTTTATTATATACAATCATTATCTTAAAAATTATGAAAGGTTAATCATTCTATAAAAACGATAGGCCCTTAATGTGTAAACAGTAAATTTTTAGATAGGAATTTTTTTAAGATTCATTTCGAAAATTTAAAGAACATGTATATATAAAATATTTTATTTTTTAATTTACCTTAACAAATACAAAAAATTTTATTATTTTATTTATTTAGGAATGCATATTTTAAATCAATTTTTTTGAAAGATGCTCAAAATATATATAAGAAATAAATTCTAATTTAATTTTACACGGATAAACGATCAAATAAATCTGAAATTCCTTTCCTTGGATTAAAGGAATAACATGGAAGATTTTTTTTGTCAATCTTTTGATTGAATATTTAGTTAGGATGGTACGGGAGGTATCTTTTATTTTCGTATGAATTCCTCCAAAAATTTCTCAATTTTCATCCATTTTAAATTTTATTTTATAGGTTTTGGACGAAGAGGCGGAAGTCTTTGTCGTCAAATTATGGAGGTTGCTCATTTACGAAATTGAAGCTAAAAAGGCGGGACTATTGAAAATGGAATAATTGCAGAAAACTATTTTTATTTTAAAATATTTTGCTAATGTATCGGGCTAGAGTAACTCGTGATTTATATATAATATTTTGATATGGAATTTGTATTTATTTAAAGTATCTGATAATTTTCGAACGAGCACAATGTTTTGTTATATAATAATATCTCGAATAATTTATAAATAAAATTTTATGTATTACTGATGTGACTGGATTTCTTAAATAAAGACAAGCGGGAAAAAGTCTTGCTTAAAATAGAATATTAGACGTCGGTCTTGAGAAGAATTAGCATGGATTTAGCCCAATTTAAATATAAGGATTTAATTTATCAAGCGAAAAACAGTTTTATTATTTATATAAAATTAACTGAATTGAATATAATGTAAAATTAACTGATACAAATGTAATTTTCTCATCAGCTTTATATATATAAAAAAATATATCTTTTTTTTGAATAAAATGTAAATCACTTGATTATAAAACACAGCTGCAAACTCGTATTAACAATTTAAAAGTGGTATAATTGAGTAATAATGAAAATAAAAGTTAATATTTACAAAATATGTAACATTTAAAAAAATATTTTAAAGTAATCAATTTATTATCGGAGACTTGTATAGGACTGGATTTACGTCATTTTAGCGATCGGGATGGGCTGGTTGGCCAGGACCTTAAAACCAGGGTGATGTTGGAAAAAAAAATATAAACCTAAACTTGCACAATGAGAAGAGGTGGTGGAATGAGAAATTTTAAAATAATCAAATTTTTATTAAATAGGCTCATACCTGACCTGAAAATGATTTTTTTTAACCCGAAGGTGGTATGCAGACCTCTTATTTGTATTTCTATCATTATCTGAATGGTTAGACAATTTTAAATATTATAAAAAAAAAGAAATTTTCTAGGTTAACTACAAACATAGACATTCATCCTCAGTTTATTAATATTTATATTTTTTTAAAAAAATGTCTCAAAATATTAGAGAAACTTGGCTTAATAAAGTTTATTCCGTAAAAAAAAAGAAATAACCTTTTCTCAATCAATTCAATGTGGGCAAATCTTTTTCCCAATTTATAAGGATTAATTATAATAGTTAATGGAGTTAATGTGTGGACCTATGTCCAGGTCATATGGTTAAAATATCAGCCGATTTCGAGTTCATGTTAAAGTATTTTCCGGTATCGGGTTAAAGTATCTTTCGATATCGAATTTATCGAGTTAAAGTATTGGTCAATACCCAGTTTATCGGGTTAAAGTATCTTCCAATGCCGTGGTTATCTGTGTACACCTCTCAATGGTGGTAATTATAACAATTTCAAAGATATATAAAGGTCCATGATTGACGGGGTTTAACCAACACAGTCCACCCAGTTTAAAAAATTTTTAATTCACCCTCCGACTGTTTTTGGAGAAAAAAATTACCCGTCCGCTCATTGTTTCAATTTAACACAACCGTCCATCTCTCATTGTTTTCCGTTTTTTCTAGCCTGTTCCGACAATGGTCTTTGGAAAAAAATTGTCAGTCAGCTCGCCATGGTTGAGAACCCGCTTGTTTAACACCATTTTATTCAGTATATTTATTATAAGTTTCATAATTTTTGATAAATTATTTAAAAAAATAAATAAGTAATATAAATTTTTGGTACAAAGAACGATATAATTGAATTAGCGATAAAATATATGTGACAAATTATGTAAGACAAAATTCGGTTTCTGATATTGTTTATACCCACGTTGTCTGGATTAACACAAGTGTTCCGTGAATCTCTCACTAATGCTAAGGCCTGATTCGGAAAAAGCGCCGGTTGGAATAGAAAAAAATATATATAAAATTAGTGCTGCAAACATTTCCAAAAATAATATCGAACGCGTTTATGTTCACCTTCAAAAAAAAAATGGAACGCGTTTGCGTTCGTTCATAACTTTATGAATGAATTTTTGTAAAAAAAATTTTAATTAATATTTAATCGTAAATACAATATAACTTTTAATCAATATATTTATTGGCTATGTTTACAATTAATAGTTATAATAATTGTAATAAAAAAAAATATCTTAATTTTTTAATATATAGAATTTTTATACGTCAAATAAAATTTAATTATTTATAAAATATACAAATCTAATAATACTAAAAAAAACCTTAAAACTTAAAAATAATAATTTTAAATTTCGAATAATCACAACTTAAAATAAATAAATTCTAAATCTATAATTAACTATTTTATATTATAATACATATTATTTCAAATATTTAAAATCGCCATTATTATAGCTATAAAAATCAAAAATAAATAAAATATATTTTTAAAAAATATCCGGGCCGGGTCCGAAAATTTTTTTTAAAAGCCGGGCCTTGCCTAAAAATATGAAACCCGGGTCGAACCGAAAATTTTTATATTTGATGGTAATGTTAAGTCATCTAATTCCGAATTCGTAGAATCAAAGATGATTGGATTTGGAATAATCCATGGTTTAACGCTATATCTATAAAATATAAATGATGAATCAATAATCTCTACTGTAAGACGGAAATAGTGGTTGGTTAAAAAAAAAAAATCAAATGTGATAAAAGAAAACATCTGATTAAAAACTAACATTTTTTTCTTAAAAGATTTTCTAAAATTGAACGAACGTAACAAAACGAACGCGTTCAAAGTTCGCCAAAAATAAAAGAAACGTCGTTCGTCATTTTTTTTTCACAAAGAAACTAACTTCGTTTACGAAAGGCGTTCAATTTGAACGCGTTCGTTTTTCAAAATAGAGGTGAACAGACATTCAAATTAAGTCAGAGCTTTCAAATTTAAATATTTTGTGACATCGTTGGGCACAGCACTTCTTTGTGACAACTACACCTGTCTGATTTCTATTCAAATGTGTATTTAATGAGGAAAAAAACCTCAATGCCATTGGGTATCACCAGAGGATCGCTAGGAAAAATTATTTTTTATAAAGGTTTAGGGTTCGGTTCTGGTTAAGGAATTAAATTGTTCAAAAACCCTAAAAATTAGGTTTAGTAACAATTATATTTTGCATGGGATATCTACCCATTATGTAGCTTTAAATTTTTTTAATCTTATTTTAATGATAAATATGAGAGTAATAAACTACCAAAAAGATAAGATTAAAACCTGTACATCGGACATATTTTTCCGGGTCAAAACCGGTCCGGGGTTTGTTCGACCGATCCGATCACGTACAATTTTGGGCTATTTAAGAAAAGTAGGACATATTAACGAAACCGGAAAAAATCGTAAGTGCTGATTGGGTTCCCGGTTTGTATTGTTTCTAAACAGAATTTCTAAATATCAAAAAAGGAAGAAACTTTTTATAAATTTAAGTACATAGCTCATTAAATTTTCTATTCCACTTTGAGATCATAGGTGTAGCCAAGATTTTGCTAGAGGAAAGGAGGGTTATTTTTCTTTTTTTTCTAAAATATTTTGAGTTTTTAGTCGGTATTTTAAAAAATTATCAACTTTTGCTAATTTTTCTTTCAAATTCTAGTATAATGATATATTGTATACATATTTAAAGGGTGGGGGGGGGTGGCAGTGGGTGAGGTGGATTAGCTTAAAATAATTTTACAAGAACGGGCAAATTCGGAAAAGAGGGGGATTTCTCCTTTGTCCTCTCTCTTGGCCACACCACGCATATGCTTCAGCGGTTTATATATATAATGAATATTACAAATGGTATAGGTTAAAATACAACATTATATTTACATATTTTACCTTTTAAATTATGTAAATTATTCGGAAATTATTACAAACTAGTAAGCAGACGATAAAAAAATTTATGATATCAATTTTTTTAAAAAAAATGTTTATTTAGGCCAAAAAGCTACATTTTTTGGCTTTGCTATCTTATAACTAAACGCTTTCCTCGTTATAGTGCCAACAAATTGGATGTTTCAAACGCTATGTTGCAAGCGTCAATAATGTCTTTCAAATGGCCTCCTGCAAATTGGTAAAATTACCGCTTGGAGTTAGCAAACATTTAAAAAAAACGCAAACAGGTTTACCTTCTTCAATACATCTTTTATTCTCAGTTTTGTTATAATATATAAAATGTATAATATATATTAAAAAAAACTTACTTATATCCTAAAAATGGAATATTTAGAATTTAAAGAAATCGGAACGCAGACGATAACATAATTTTCAAAGACAAATCCTTTTTTTTTTGGAGAACTTATTTGAAATTTCGAATCGGATATTGATTAAAAGACAACCTCAAATTTAAACAAGGAACGCAAAACGCCAACGCTCAATTCGTGGGCACCATCTACGACACTTTAATTAGCGCAACATATTCACAAAATAGAGCCAAAAGATAGCCACAGTTTATAAATACTAAACGTTATGATGATAGCGCCATGATTAAATTTGAATAACATATGTTGCGATGCGATGATAAAAAAAATAGCGAATTCGATATTTAATTTAAACATAAAAGGCATATGATATTTTCTAAAATGTTGTGTAAAATAATTATTTCCATATTATCTTATCTTTTAAAGTAAAGGCTTACGATTGAATAACGCAACGCTTTAAACATAACGCGTTTACTATAAATAATGGCCCTGTGTCAATGTTATGCTTGAGATCTTAACATTTTCTATTTATTTAATAAGACGATTTTTCTATTCTCTTTTGCAAAAGTGCAATAAAAATAATTCTGAAGGAATAAAAAAATCGTTTGTTTTTTTTTGCCAATTCCTATTTGAACGCAAGACCTTCGTATTTACTAGCCCTGCATCAATAGTACTAGATTCAATGACGTATAATAATACCTAGGCTAACTGTGCATTCATTAAATAATTCGTTTGAATTCAAATCAGCTAGATCCGCCATTTTGGTAACTGATACAGTAATTATTCTCATGTTAAAAACTACTATTTAAATAGATAAACTTGCTTCCGCATTATCTCGATGATCGGGTGTCAATTCTTTAATAAAATTGACCTTGTCGTTTAAAATAAATTTTTAAATAAAGATATGGTAAATCAAAATGGCGTCCCCAGCTGTTTTTCATTGATGCTCGCTTTTGATGAAGTCAGTCCAGATATTATTACATGTCATTGAAGGACACAAACGCAATTATAAATGATTTTATATCATAAGACCTGAACACTTATTTCTGATCTCTAAACAAAATAAAATGGCAGAATATTCTGGGAGTCTTTTATTCAAAAATAATGGCAGCTAGTACACACTTGTAACAAATCCAAAGGTAAACAGAAATAAGTTTAGAAATACAGACGAACCCTAACAGAGCCCAGAAGGATAATAAGCAAGTTTTCTTGGTAATTATTCTTAAAAAAATAATATTCATATAAAAAAACGTAGTCTGAACCAGGTCCCAAAAGTGTGCGTCACTTACCAGGTTCGGTCAGTTGGACTCAGATCGGATTCGGTATTTATTCGCCCTGAAAAGAAACAAAATTTATAACAGTCTATACAATAATTTATTAAACACATGTTTGCTTTTATTGTGCTCTAGGAAAACCATTAAAAAAAAAACTTTAGTCAGGGACTATTCGTAGCCCCAAAGGTTATTACTATTATTTATTGTTGTTAATTTTATTTTGATATTTTAAAATGCCAATAAATCTTGAACACAGTTGCGGTTCGCTCCCTAGACAACTCACTAAATAAACAAAATACGTAAACCTCTAACAAGAATTGTAGAAGGGGTCCCACGCAATTGCACTATTGAAATTTTAGTGAGATATACTCTAGGGGTATGCTCAAAGTAGTTCACTAAATTAAATTCGACCTCAGTTTCTAGGCGGGATAGAAGTTTAGGGTAAACTTTATCCAGTCGCAGCCTAGACTAGAGTTCTGTAAAAGGCTGATTTCGCTAGCCCACGCCCATACTTCGGGCCTGAGTGGTCGGGCTAAAAAAAATTTTTTAAAGTAACTGTAGTTTTTTTTTAAAAAATATAAAAAAAATTTTTAAAGTAACTGTAGTTTTTTTTTTTAAAAAAATAATTTTTTGGGTTAAACGAGGAGAAAAAGACTTCAATTTATTAAAAAATATTCATAATATTGCATGTTGTTTCTGTTTATTTAAAATAAATTGATAAAGAATCAAACTAGCCATCGAAATAATTCTCAAACAATTAGACGGGTGGGCTTTTTGGCCGAAAACTTGCCCTAAAAAAACCGACCTATCCTAGGCATTTGCATAATCCTATGGTATATACAAACTTCGGTTTATTTTGGAAAAATATTTCTATATAGAACCTTTAGAGGGGGATCAATGACATTATGATATAATACCTAGATTTACGATGCGCTCACATTAAAAGTGTACATCAATGAAAACAGCTGGGAACGCCATTATCCCGCTTATCGTTTAACCCCCGGTGTTCCCCTAATTGGTTAAATGATAACCGATTTTGCGACAATTTATAACAAGAGGAATTGGTTATCTAAATCAATCATTTAATAATTTTATTTAGTAAATATATATATATAATAAATTTTAGTGACATTTGTCATTCATAATCTGACATTCAAAAGGAGTACAACATATGTTAAGAGCAAAGTCAGCATGCAGAGCTCAACCCTCATATACTATAAGTTACTATATTACACATGAATGAATGTATTTTATAGGCCCATCCCATATATGAAGAGCATTTTTACTGCGTTTTGAGGATATGTTTATTTCACATAAAAACGAAAATAATAAAATTATAAGTTATAAAAGTTAATTTTAGGTTTAAATATTTAAGAATTATAGAACTTATTATTCTATTCATTCTATAAGCTAACATTATACAATTAATTTACTAACTAATTAGTCTTACATAATAATTAACGTCTTGTTACCTTAAATTCGTCGCGATATAAAAATATGAAATTTTAATTTAATTTTCCCTTTTTTAAATTAATTACAAAAAAAATATCTTTTGCGGAAATTAAACATGATATTATACAACATTATCACATTTTGCCTTCTTATTTTAACCGCTTACAATTACGATTTGGATTATCAGACCTATTACAACTGTTACTACCATCAAAATAATGGGACCTTCAAGTATTTCCACGTGACTAACTGCAAGAAGAACAATTTTCTCGCCACTTTAAATGATTCTCAACAGCAGCCTAAAAATACGACACATTTGTTTCGCAAACATTGTACCGATAGCTACACCTGCACGATCAACGATACGGCGTACAAATGTCTAACAAGAGCCTGCTACTCGAAAAATAAGCCGCGCAATCACCGTCAAAAAATACTAAACGGTTCCCACACTGTCGGGCATCATAACGTATCCGGTGCCGGCAAAAGAATCTTCCTGGTGATCAGTTCATGGACGAGCATCTTCCGGGGCAAAACGCACAGGGGTAAGGCTCCAGTAAAAGAAGCGCCAACTCGCCGTAAATCTTCCCCTAACCTTTACAACGATAGCGAAGAGTTTGATAACGACAAGGATCGCCTTTCAAATCCCGACAAGCCTGACAACCATAGTCACGCCACTTTTATCGATATCATATCCAGCCTTTTTAATCCCAGGCCTAGGAGCCCCCTGAAATCTGGCCTGATCCTCCAAGGACACAACTACAGTGATCAGCTGTCATTCAAGGACGCATCTGTTACAACGAAAAAATCGCGCAAGAGCTATTCATCGTTCGACAACTATTTCCCTGTGGGTAAATTGATATGGCTCGTCGGGCTAATGTTCCCGGCCGGTATAGTGATGATCTTTCTAGTATCCACCTGCATTACCAAGAAGAAATCGTCAGAGCTTTCGGTTAAGTGCTGAATACAACTCCAGACCACTTGTATTTCTTTTCGAATCTTTATTATTAGCCAACTTAATTTTGTTAAATGTATATTATTATTTACATATCATAAAATAATAAATTTATCTATCTTTAAAAAAAAAAATGATTTTATTTTTTTTTGCTTTATAATATTAATTATTAAAACTTTATTTTTGTAATCTTATAAGTATAGTAATATATATATATAAGTTTTTGTTTATGTGTGTTGTATACTTAATTATTCGGTGAAATAAAACTCAATTCACTAACGTTATATTCCTATATTACTATTTGCAATCCTCTATGCGTGTTTAGACAATTTCGAAAGTCCCTCTGGAGTCTATACTAGAAAGGAGAAGGGCTACCGAAGGTTATCGCACTTTCTAGCAATTTCGAAAACGATTCAATGAATGCCCTTTGTTGATTGGTTGAATCCGTAAAATAAATAGTGAAAGACTGACCCTTCTACCATGAAGAGTAATATGGACGAAGGAGGGTAGGTGGGAGGGTGGGGGAGATAGGAGGTGTGGGGTTTGCTCATTTTATTTAGGGGGGTTATGGGGTAATATCGCTATCAGAATATAAAACGAAACAAATTATGATATATAAATCCCAAATAAGTTTTTTTAAAAAAATGGCCCCCAAAGTAGTGTTAAACGGCTAACTCAATATCCAAAGTAATGATTTACTCAAAGCTCGGGAAAATTTGCTAACATTTTGCAGCAGAAAAGTTTTGGACATCTATTGAGGTGGCTTGCATTGCCTAAAAGATTTTACCAATTAAAATGGCTTAATAAAAAAAAATCTTATCTATAATCCTAACATCCTTGTCCGCCCATTCTGTCCAATCGTGTAATGGGAATAAAACCTACGTCCTGACCAATCACAAATCAGAGGAAACCTTGTTTTTTTTTTCAACACTAACCTACAAATACTATATCGAATGTAAATGAGATATATCTTGGATTTATAGAGTTTCTTTTGAATTATTATGTGGAATAGGTTGCAA